TCCATATACATGGGGGAACTACCGCTGCGACATCTGATTTTACTACTACAAAAAACCCTGAGGAAGTTAGGTGTAGCAGTGAATGCAGAACAGTTACACCAGATCCATGTTCTAAGTCAGAGCAGGATTTTAGAGGCATAAAGAATGATAAAATATGTGGGTGTAAACCTCTTTTTTTTAATGGTACAGAGGAGAAAGAAGACTCTCTCCATCAGTGGTGTTGTGTGACTAAGTGCACATAGATGATGAAGAAATAAGAATGTAATTTATATGTAGTCAAGAAACGACCTAAAAGTCGGTCTAAGGGATCTAACTCCGCATCTTTTTTCTCTGACTACCCTCTTCCATGTCACCCTGAAAAAGGTAATCATGAAAATTACGAGGCTGAATAATATTTAAAACAGCTAAAACGATGATGGAGTCAACTGCATTATAACTCATGAAGCGACCATGAATGCAAATGAGAGAATACATAAAATGGCTTACCCCATTGGACTCTGGCCTGCACTTTGCATGCACTATAGGACCTAACTGAGACTTGTCCAAAATATCTGTTGATCCATCTGGAGCATTCATGTACACCGCACCTTTGTACATCCATTCTTCAGTTTCATCACTATAAAAGTCTTCAAATGACTCGCCGCATAAAGCACATGAAGTTTGGTCTTCATCTGCAGGAACTGCCATCTCTTCGTCATCCTTCTTTTCTATTGTTGGCTCTGCGGGTAAGAACCCTGGTACTGCTTCAGCTCCAAGTGCCTCTGCACCACTAAGCCACATACTACCACTTACAAACCATTTCCGAGAAGGATTCTGCTTATGGTTCTTGGACATCCTGTTCTTGGTTACATGCCAATCCATGTGCTTACTGTGCTCTTCTTGGCACTTGAAGCGTAGACCACATGTTGTGCATTGCCTAGGGAGATCCCCATATAGAGCACTGATTGCAGACTCATTACGTATCTTAAGCATGTCCGCATCAAACTCCATTCCCAATGATCCCTGAATATATAAACCAACTATTCAAGATAAAGCAAGAAGAAACAAATCTCAAGCAGTAGAAGGGGTGACATGAGTTTGAATATTTACCTGACCAGGAGGCTGATTGTTCAACGAGATCAAACCTTGAGCCATGAGGGAGCCAATCAGACCAGAGAATGCGCCACTCGGCGGTTGATTAGAGGTTCCCAGAGAAGCATTCTGAGAGATGGATCCCATTTGAGATAACACCCCTGAAGAAAGAGGATGCATGGCTTCTCCACTATGGATTGATAAGGATGGTCTAATGGTTGACCCTTGTGGTGGGTACCCATGACTTACGTGGGGCAGCAGTGATTGCATTGGCCTTTGAGCCATAGCAGAAGAAGATGGCAAATAACTACCTAGCATCTGATTCTGTTGGTTCATATCATTAAGATGACTCTGGGAGACCTGGTTCTCGGGCCTGTATAAAGGGTTACCATGCAAGCGATTTGACATCGAATTACTAGGATTTGCCAAATGATGCAAGTGCGTAGAAGATACAGGGAGAGAATTGGATCCTCTAACACTCAAATGAGGCCATGTTCCATCAGGAAGAGCCCGACCAAAACGTGTGTTAATATCTTGATTGCTATCAAATGGAGGAGCCCCGAATTCACTGTTTGATGAAACTAATCCCACCGATGAAGCCAATACTTTCAAGTCTATTCCTGCTCTGGTATTAACAGGGTTTGATGAATGGGGGAAATTTTGTGACAAATTCCAGTTTTCTCGTAGCTGATAACTTACACCATTCTTCTTGTCAGAATCTAAATGAAAATCACTTGTGTTTCCTACTCTGGGTCTTGCCCTTACACTTCCTAATGCTTGGGCAGATGATCGTAAAAAATCACCAGCTCTGCCACGTTCTAGGGTAGGGCTCATATCTTCCCAATCAAACTCTTCTTCCTCAGTGTTCTGCCATGGTGTGACCATCTTATTGTGAATGCCATTCATATCGCGAATTGGTTTATTGATGGTTACGTGTTTGCTGGTGTCAACTCCATATGCATCTATCAAAGCTCTAGGTCTTTCATGATCATTTGCTTGGCCTAAGTTTTCCTTTCTTCGCCATTCCATATGTTCATCATCTCTGCCAGTAAGTCTACCCATTCCATATTTAAAGGCTTGATTAGAAGGATTAGCTCCATCACTAAACCTCTTGGGAAAACCATCTGCTGCAGGACCATTAGGGTCAAAAGATAAAAGGGTTATTCAAAGTCCATCAAGTTTTACAGGTCTGGAGATTGCAAGCCTGAGGAATATTACCTCCATTTACAGAAGACGAGAGGGCCACACTTCCAACTGTACCAGACCTTGGTCCAGACAGGGAAGATGGGCTCTCTAACTGATCCTCAAAATCATCATATCCACCGAGTGAATTTTGGCCATACACTCTTGCACTGGAATTTATTCCCCTCAAATTCTGCATGTCAAGTAGGAGCAGTCAAGGAAATATGCATGTAAGGTATACGTCACTATGAGGCTAGACTAATCTTATATCAGGCTTTCTTAGTACAGTAATAGAATATAAACATATCAGAACTTCAAGGTAACAGATGCATTCATAAAAGAATGCCATCTCTGTTCATAATAACAAATAGAAAGGCTTACACTCTCAGTGGCTGAGGGCTCCAGCCTACGAAGGTATTTCGGATTAACATGAATACCCCTTGTTGGTTGAGCAGGATCAGAAGCCCCTAACGAAGATTGTTGGTTTGTTGCAGATGAAAGTTGCAATTGTACCTCAATCTTGCGTAACACAGGCGGTGGAAAAACACTTGACCAAGTCCCAAACAGATGGCGCATTGAAGGATGTAAACTCGGATGTGCTTGCCTGTATGCTAGGCAGAAGACCTAAAGGAGCAGACAGAGAATCAAAACATCTTTATGAGCATGCTTCAGCCCTATACAGATCAATATAGCAAATATCTCCTTGTAGCCTGCTTACCTCTGGTAGACGGGATGAGAAATAACGAACATAATCCCGTCCAATGTTCTTAACGATGCTGTCTAATAGATAGAGAGAAGGCAACTTTTGCTCAACTGGAGCCTGCATAAACATGAGATTTTATCATAAAATTTCTGTATTCACATACCAACAAAGTAACTCAGAAGCAGCCCCAGTTCACTAAACAACAAACTAAACACTCTTCTCTAATTGCATAAAACTCTGACAATAAAAAAAAAACCTAAATTTCTTCCACGTTTGCACTAACAAAGTATACAGTAAAGCTTAAATGGCAGAAACTAAGAAAAAGAGACAAACCTCAAGAATTCGAGTGCAAATGGCATTAGCGATTCCTTCACCATATTCCCGTTGTTCACCAGCAATAATAGTGAGATCAGTAATAATAGGCTTGGAATTAAAAGTAAGTTCGCCCAAAACAACCTCATAAAGCTGAACAATCTCATCCATACCCGGAGGCAAAACCTCCTCACCACCACCGAACTCATCTTCACGCTGATTCAGCAGAGCCTTGAACCGGTCAAGCAACGAAGGCGGCGGCGGCGGTTTCTGTGGCAACTCAACAGACATACCTTTGCGACCAGTGGTAGTGCTGCTGCTATTAACCGAAAGAAGCCTTGGGTTAAGGAGTTTCTCTGATTCCATCCCCAATTCAATAGTGAAGAGTGATAATTAGTACCAACATAGCCCCTAGGGTTTCTGTTCCACCATGGAAACTCGAATCGCCACCCTCAGAGAGAGAGATCGATAACGGAAGTTTTTTTTTTTTAGTGAAGAGGATTTTTTTTTTAATTTCTCAATTTTGTATCTCTATTCTCCGAAAATCTCACTTTTATCCCCTTTTTTGTCAAGTTTTCAACTACACCCATTTACTTTTGGAAAGTTTGTCATTTAGTACATTTTTGAAACAAAATAGGCAATATACTACATTTACTATTTAAAATTAGAGATTTGAGTTGATTTTACTGTTTGTGAGATAGAAGAATTGTGAGATAGAAGATGATGTAGGGTAGAGGAGAGTGGGTTAAAAGACCAAAATAGTGTGTATGTTATATATATATATATATATATATAGTTTTTTTATATTTCTTACATCTCCACTAATTTAATAACTAAAATACTAATTGCATGATTTTTTTTTCAAAAAACTTCATAAACATAAAAATCTATCATTTTTTTCTCTACAGTTTGATATGCATTTTGTTTTATAATTTCTAAAATATTTTATACAAATTATGATTCGTACAATTATATGTCTGTACATAAAGACGTGCCCGTACAAAAATACTGCTGTACAGAGGTTTTTATCATATTTGTGTACAGAAATATTGATGTACAGAGGTTTATATATGTACAATTGTACTTGTACATACATTATTCTGTACGGTTGTACGTCTCTGTACAAATATTTTAACTGTACAATGGTTTATATTTGTATAATTATATATGTACATATATTTTTCTGTACATATATGTATATATATATATATATATATATATTTTATTCGTATAACTCATATAATATACAGTAAATATAAGTATATTGTGTATATGTATGTGTAACCGTACACTATAATAAACGTACAGATCATATTATACAGAATTGGGTCTTCTTTTGGGCCATCAATTAATGGGGTGATCGGGCCTCTTTCCGGGCCGGATTAATTAATGGGTCAGCGTGTGTTCTGCCTCTGCTACCATGTTAAATTAGGGTTTGTTATGGGCTTCCAACTCAAAACCAATTGGCAATGAGTGGATTGGCCCTAACCCTTTATATATTACTTAAGTCCCTTTTCTCCACATGTTTGCTCAATGAAACAATCCGTTATTTACTACCAGATCATTTGTTGAACCGGATATGGTATTAACCCGTTCGAATCACGACGACTTCATTGGTTGCTAGGCTTTATTTTCCTAGATCACATATTATTGGGCTTTGTTATATCGGCCCAACTGTATAATTCTTTTTTTTTACTAATTACAGGGTGTAATTAATTTGAAAGACGAGGATGATTGATACTTTTCTCTGAAGAGTTGCCAGAGGAAGCGGAAGCATAAGAAAAAGCAGTTATCACATTTACTCCTCAGGATTCCTTAGCGAAAGGTCATTTTCATTTCTGTATAGCAGTTTGATTTTCATTGTCTAGCGTTTTGGGTTTTCTCCTTTTTTTGTTTGGAATGAGTTTACCTGCTAAAAAAAAGTCATAGACACTAGACATTTGCGTTTGATGTGTAGCTTTCTAGGGTTTTTTTTTGGTAAAAGGTTATAGCTTTCTAGGGTTTTTACTTGAAAGTTTTTGTTTCTTGTAGGTTTTGTTGTGTCTCATAATGGCTGAGAGCGACGAGGTTGTGGTGTTGTGTTACTGGAAAGATTGGGATTGTGATATCAAGCATGGTCCTGATGGTGTTTACTTTGAAGGATCGTCTCCTAAAGAGATGAGAGTCAAGAAAAATACCGACTTTAGCAGATTTCTGGATGAGCTTTATCTAATTACTGGATTAGACAAGCAAAAATCAAAGCTTGAAGTAATTGGTAAGTACCCTGTAGTTCAATCACCCAATCAGTTTAAGTATCTACTTCATCCCGTGCTCAGCGACACTTTTTTCAAGACTATGCTCGAGCTTCCAAGCAATTTCACTTCGATAAACACTGTGGAGTTGTATTTGGAAGTTAAACCAAATCCACCTGCTGCTAGGCCATTGCCAATGGAAAATCCAAGGAAAAGACAGAGGAGACAAGAAAAGGTGGGGGACAAAAATGGTTCAGGTTCACAGAAGAGCAGTACACAACAAGAGGTGGGCCGGGATAAGAATGCTCCTCGTCTTGTGTCTGGTTTGTGGCTTGACGATTCTACAATGCGTGTGGGGTTGTGTTTTAAAGACATAGATGAGTTGAAGAAGGCAGTGGACTGGTGGTCCATTAAGAGGCAGCATAAATGTTTACTAAGAGAGACAGACAAGGACATGTATTTGTTTGAGTGTGTAAGATGGGGATGCAAGTGGTCAATTTCTGCAGGTAGAATAGATAAAGACGGTCTTTTTGAGATAACCAAGTGTAGTGGGCCACATAGGCATGACCACGGTTACGGTTAATGCGGTTATGGTTAATTAACCACCGGTTAACGGTTATAATTTTTTAACCATAACCTTAATCATTATATATACGGTTAAGACAGTTACGGTTATATACGGTTACGGTTAATTACGGTTACGGTTAAATACGGTTACGGTTATTTGATGATTATTATAATATTAATATTGGAGATAAAATTTTATGAAATATTATTTATTTTACAAGTAAAAAATATTTGTGATTTCAATTATTTATACTGAATTAGTTAAATCTGGGTATTGTATACAGTTATAATATAATTTATTTTAAAAATTTAAATATGCAGTTAACCGAGCGTTTAACCGTACGGTTAACCGACGATTAATTACGGTTAATTATGGTTACGGTTAATTAACGGTTACGGTTATTATTATTTTTTAACCGTAACTAATTTACTTTTACGGTTAACGGTTACAATTTTTAACCGTTTTATACGGTTACGGTCTGGTTACGGTTGATAAACGGTCCGGTTACGGTTAAAAATACGGTTAAGGTTAGCTTTTGGTCATGCCTAGGTCCACATACTTGTCTCCCTTATGATAATTCACAAGATTTTGAAGTGGAGTTCTTAGAACATGAGATTGAACGTGCGGTCAGGGTACATCCCATGCTCTCAACTGTAGAGCTGGATAAGTGGTGGGAAGAAAAGTTTGGCTATGCCCTTGATGGAGTGGAGGAGGTGGACCATGATGCACAAGGACTTTTGCGGGTTGCGAAAGAGAAAGCTATCAAAAGAGTCTTTGGAGATTGGGATCAGAGTTTCAGAATCATACCCAAGTTAATGTCTGCGCTTCACTCTTCTAATGGCCTGGTTGTGGACTGGCAATATGATTCTTGGCCTGATCGTGAACACGTCTCCTTTCGCAGCGTGTTTTGGGCATTTTCACAGTCTATCCAAGGGTTCCAACATTGTAGACCTCTGATCGTTGTGGACACCAAAAACTTGGGCGGTAAGTACAAAATGAAACTGATGATTGCCTCAGCGTTTGATGCAGCCAACCAATACTTTCCACTTGCCTTTGCGGTTACTAAGGAAGTATCCGTTGATAGTTGGCGTTGGTTTCTCACTAGAATCAGAGAGAAGGTAACACAGAGGCAAGGCATTTGCCTCATCTCCAGTCTCGACCCTAACATACGGGCTGCTATTAATGAACCCAGGTCTCAGTGGAAAGAACCGTGGGCTTATCACAGGTTCTGTCTGGATCATCTTCGCTCCCAACTCCGTAGCGTTTGTCCAGACTGCGATCACAATATGGAGTATCTTTTGGATAAGGCTGGATCGTCAAGTAAGAAGGAAGAATTTGAATCCAGCATGATGGAGATCAAAGAGAAGAATCCAGAAGCTTGGAAATGGTTAAACCAAATCCCTCCACATCAGTGGGCTCTGGCTCATGACAGTGGTAGTCGGAGATACGGAATCATGAGGATAAAAACTCAATCTCTCTTTGCTCTCTGTAAAACATTTCCGAAAGTTGCAATGGCAGGGGGTGTGATGATTCTGTTTAGTGAGCTGAGAGACGCTTTTGAGGAGTCTTTTAGCCGAACCCGTGGCTCTCTTAACCGCGGCGATGTGTACACAGATTCTGTCATGAAGAAGTTTAAAGAGTTCAAGAAAAATGCCACTACTTGCGTTATAACGCCAGTGGAAGGAGGTGCATATCAGGTCTCAACGGACTCGAAAAAGGAGAAAAGGTATATGGGTAAGGTTAATGTCTCTACCAGCGGGATTGTTCAGTTGAATGACTCAACCTGCACTTGTGGAATGTTTCAAAGGAACAAGTTCCCATGTCTGCACGCGCTAGCAGTCTACGATAAGCTAAAAATCAACCCGTTGCAGTATGTAGACGACTGTTATACTGTTGAAAGGTATCACAAAACGTACTCAGCTACATTTTCTCCTGTTCCTGAGGTATCATCTTGGCCGGAAGCTTCTGGTGTTCCAACATTTTCTCCTCCACCTAAAGTATCAGGTAAGTCTCTATCTACGTGAAACAAATCCGCACTGGTGAGCTGAAAAGTTAGTTAGACAGATTTGAATTAAACCTGGCTTAGTATTTAGGATTATATGACTTTTTTGGGAAGTATTTGGTTAAACTGGTTCATGATGTCTATATAAGTATAGCGTTGTAAAAAGGAGATATATTTTGTTATTGCAGTCTCATATTTTTCTGACTTATGTTTGTGTTATCTTGTAAAAGGAAAAGGTAAAGGGAAAGAGACCGATGATGATCATCTTGAAGAAGAAGAAGAAGAAGAAGATGATAATGATGAGGACGAAGATGATGATAATGAAGATGAAGATGAAGATGAAGATGGTGAAGAAGATGAAGATGGTGAAGAAGATGAAGATGAAGATGAAGAGTGGTAATGTTCTGCTTGCATTAGCGTAATGAGATTTAACACAATTAAGAACCGCAGGATTTATTCATGCGCACTAAACAGCCTTTTGAAGTTTTGGTTTGCTTTCTAGTTGGAAAGATTATGACTTGGATCACACGCTTCGATATTTACCTACCCTAGAGGAAGAAAAAGAAGCTCGTAATGTCCAATTTGGTTGAACGTAACTAAAGATTTGGTCGAAAAACAGAATTAAACCTCGTATCACTTGATTTTATTTCATATACAGTACATATCTAACCAAGTTGAAAGCAAAAACAAAATAGCGATTTCAATTCAATTCGACAAAACAAAATCATTGTTGTAGCTTTGCTAAGTTTTTGTGTCGTCGGTCTAATGTATGGGCCGGGCCGTAAGGAAACGAAGTTTATGGGCTCAAAACTATTTTGGTACTTTTTAACTTATTTGTTTTTTACCAAACTGCTAAAAATTTACACGCTTCTTCTTCTTCTTTACAGCTCAACTTGTGTCTCTCTGTTTATTATCTTCCTAATCCGTACTCTTCTCTTCTTTTCTCCAAAAACAAAAAATGGAATGGATAAATTCACTTCCCAAAATCGAGCTTCATGCTCATCTCAACGGCTCCATTAGAGACTCCACTCTTCTGTAAAATTCCCCCCAAACTTATCTTTTTTTACTTTACGATTTTTGTTTGTTTATCTCTATCTTTCGTATCCACAACATTTACACTGGTCAATTGTGAATGCGCAATTCGAATTTGAAGTTTTCTCTATATTGATGGGTTTTGTTTCTTTTTGATGAACAGAGAGCTTGCTAAGGTTCTTGGTGAGAAAGGCGTTATAACGTTTGCTGATGTTGAACATGTCATTCAGAAAAGTAAAGTCTTTACTTTTAGAATTCGTTGTTCTGTATTTTGCTTAGTTTGGTCTGCTCAAGTCAAGTGACATCATAAGTAGTTTCAATGGTTAGTCTAAAAACTTAAAAGGTTAAATCTTTCTTGTTTGATGTTTTTTTCTTAGATGATCGATCTTTAGTTGAAGTCTTCAAGTTGTTTGATTTGATCCATAAGGTCACTACTGATCACAAAACCTTGACAAGGATCACCAGAGAAGTAAAACCCTAGTTTCATTTTCCATTCATCAATTTGAATTTTTAGTAAATCTTGAGACTTTACTGATCTTATCTTGACACAGGTTGTAGAGGATTTTGCTTTAGAGAATGTGGTGTATCTTGAGTTACGAACAACTCCAAAGGTATACTTTTTTTGCTTTAGAGAATGTGGTTGTAGAGGTTTTTGCTTTAGAGAATTTGCCTCTTTTTGTTTTTGCAAATATCCTAAGTTAGTTGTTTCTACATTTGAAAAATGAAGAGAGTGGTTGTTTGTTTGTAGAGGAATGATTCAATTGGTATGAGTAAACGTTCTTACATGGAAGCGGTAATTGAAGGTTTGAGATCTGTCAGTGAAGTTGATATTGACTTTGTTACGGCATCGGATTCTCAAAAACTGCACAATGCCTGTGATGGAATTGGAAGAAAGAAGATTTATGTTAGGCTTCTTCTTAGTATTGACCGTAGAGAGACAACCGAGTCCGCAATGGAAACTGTAAGTGTTGGAAAACAAGCAATGCTACTCGAAAACGTAAAATACTAATGCAAAAAAACATCTAACATTCTCGTTTTTTACTTAAAAGGTCAAGCTCGCATTGGAAATGAGAGATGTTGGGGTAGTTGGTATTGATCTTTCAGGGAATCCTCTTGTTGGAGAATGGTAAAAGCTTTGTATAATTTGTTGTTCTATTTCTTCCTTTGCTTTGCTCTATGAGTTCTTCTGAAATCTTCCATGTTCTTGTAGGAACACTTTCTTACCTGCATTACAGTTTGCTAAAGACAATGATCTTCACATCACTCTTCACTGTGGAGAGGTATTAACTCTTGAAAGTCCATTAAACAATTTTCAAATATCTTTTTTTGGTTTTTCTACTACTTTCTCTATCTTAGTGCTTTGTAGGTCCCCAATCCAAAAGAAATCCAAGCCATGCTGGATTTCAAACCGCATCGAGTTGGCCATGCCTGTTTCTTCAATAATGAAGATTGGACAAAGGCAAAATCTTTCCGGATTCCGGTAATATTTATACAACTGTTCTTTGCTGCGTATGATCTTATGACAATGTTCCAAACAATTTGACAATCTGTTATTTTGTGCAGATTGAAATATGTCTAACGTCCAACATTGTAACCAAATCGATATCTTCCATTGATATACACCATTTTGGTTAGACATTTTCTTTTGCTTTGCTTCCCATTCTCCTTTCTCATTTCTTTGATGCATCAAAGCTAAAATCGAAACAGTTGGACCTTGACATGATCTTAATCTTGATCTTAACAGCTGATCTCTACAAGGCAAAACATCCATTGGTCCTATGTACTGATGATTTTGGAGTATTTTCCACAACCCTCTGCAATGAGTACGCTCTCGCTGTTCGTTCCTTTGGTAAGTTCCAGAACCTGAGCTCAAATCTCAATAGTTACAGAGGTTTTCTGATTCTTGAGTCTGGTGATATGGTTTACATTGCTAACGAAACTAAATTGTGCATTTCCCTGTGAAGGTCTTAGTAAAAGAGAAACTTTTGCATTGGCTAGAACTGCCATAGACGCAACATTTGCAGAAGATGAAGTCAAGCAACAACTTAGGTTGGTTTATGATTCAGCCTCGCCAGAGTATGTTTAGCGCCTCAAATATTACTGGTTTACTTGATTTTGTTGGTTTATATCAAACCGGACAAATGTGTTTTGGTTCATTGGTTGGTTCGAATTAAACTCATTCGTCTCAAAATTTCGACTGTACTACTACTGATATGATTTTTTAAATTTAAAATTTCACATTTTCTTTTTATTACCATTTTTTATTTTTCCTTAGAAGAGATTGAATATTCCGGTTAAGCGGTCGGAAAAATTTAGAAAGATTGGATTATTCCGGTTCTGTAGCAACTGGACACGTGTACAAAACATCCACGTGTTTCATGAATCTTACACGTGGCACAAGTCAAAAACCCTCAAGATGCGAAAACCTAGTCGTCGTCTTCCTTGTGATTCATCTTCCTCCTTCTACTGGTGCTAAAGATTTGAATTTCTAATTAATCAAATTAAGAATTAAGTAAATGAGGAAGACGAAGACGAAGCTTTGTTGATATCAATGGCGACTTATAGATCTCTAAGAAAGCTAGCTGAAATCAGTCACCGGAATACAAGACCATTCTACACCGCCGCCACCGCTGCATCACCTTCCGGTGGAACCGTCTCCCTGATCCCACCGCAGTTTTCGCCGTTGTTTCCACATTTCTCGCACCGTTTGTCTCCGATTTCGAAATGGTTCGTTCCTCTTCATGGACCTCTCTTCTTATCTTCTCCTCCTTGGAAACTGCTTCAGTCGGCGACACCTCTGCATTGGCGCGGGAACGGCGCTGTTTTGAAGAAGGTTGAAGCTCTTAATCTTAGATTGGATCGAATTAGAAGAAGAACTAGGTTTCCAAGACAATTAGGGTTACAATCAGTGGTACCAACGGTAGATAGCAACGATTCAAAGGAGGAGGATGGTGGGTTAATCAAGAGTTTTGTTAATGTGCCGAATTTGATATCAATGGCGAGATTAGTATCTGGTCCTGCACTTTGGTGGTAAGTATAGAAGTATCTTTTTCTCTGGAAAAAAGTATTGGAGAATGAAGAATCTGAAACTTGATTGTGGTTGTATTGTAGGATGATTTCGAATGAGATGTATAGTTCTGCTTTCGTAGGATTGGCTGTTTCTGGAGCTAGTGATTGGGTATTCATCTCCTTTGTGATTTTTGTTTTACTAGTATTGGGAAGAAGGACATTGTTTATAATAGACCCTTGGTTTTGTAGTTAGATGGTTACATGGCTAGGAGGATGAAGATTAATTCTGTTGTTGGCTCGTACCTTGATCCTCTTGCAGACAAGGTATAGTCTTTTGATCTAGTATGTGTTTTGTTTTGGCTCATTATTGGATGTTCTCTGCATGTGTTTAGGGGTTAAGGTTGTTTTACGTTTCAAACTGATGACATGTGTGAGGTTTTATTTCATCTCAGTTTTCTTGATTATACTTATGTTTAAATTCAGGTTCTTATTGGGTGTGTTGCAGTAGCAATGGTGCAGAAGGATCTCTTACATCGTGAGTATACTTTTATCTCTCCTGCTCCTGGTAGATAATAAGATAGCAGTTACTATAAATTTTTTGAGATATCCAGAGTTTGCGAAGTTGAAGGGAGGAATTTTCTCTTAGAAGGAAAATGTGCTTTGATTTACACTTGAATTGAATGATCTACAACCTTGGGAAATGCATCACAGTTTTTGTAGTTTTAATATCGTCCTCTTGATCTCCTTGGACAGACCTCTTATAAAGATTACATGTATTTATATCAAGAGGAAACCTAACTAAGTTTACTAACTAATTGCTAAACTTGGCTTCGTTTCTTAGTTAATGGAGTCCTAGTTGCAATACTGCCTTTTAAACTCTAATACTAAAGCCATTGTTGGTGGATGCATGTGACATTTGTGCTCTAAAGCTGGACTGGTTGGTATTGTGGTGTTACGGGATGTTGCACTCGTCGGTGGTGCAATTTACCTAAGGGCACTAAATTTGGACTGGAAGGTGAGTTCTTGTAACATTCCACTCAACTTATTCCTCTTGTTTCACAGTATTTTTGTCCTGCTCGACCATATGCTTTAACAAGAACATGAACTGAAATTATTGGTGGGAATCCTATTGGTCTTGTTTCAGTGGAAGAGTTGGAGTGATTTCTTCAACCTCGATGGTTCAAGCCCTCAGAAAGTAGAACCATTGTTTATAAGCAAGGTATGATCTCTAGGTGACAGCTTGTTCTCATCTTGGCATCTTTGGCATGCGTAATTGGGTAGTTAATAGAACATGTTCATCAACAGGTGAATACAGTTTTCCAGTTGGCTTTAGTCGCTGGTGCATTACTTCAGCCTGAGTTTGGGAATCCAGAAACCCAGACATGGATCACTTATCTAAGGTAATATGTTCTTTTCTAATTATCACACAGCCTGGACTAATCACTGCCCTCAAGTTATAAACATATGAAGTGTGTTCTCTGAAAATCTTGTTATTGGTCTTATTTTGTTTTGTATCCAGTTGGTTAGTTGCTTCGACGACTATGGCTTCAACCGCAGGTTATGGGGTACAATACTGGAAGAAGAGACCTATATCTATGATTAAGAGATCATAGGTTCAACGTACACACCAACCACATACTGAAAGAAGCTTGACCATGTCTTTGTGTTTCCCTAATACGCAGCTTATGGGGTACAATACTGGAAGAAGAGAACTATCTCTATCATTAGGAGATCATAGTTTTCCGACGTTTATAAACTCACATGCCGGCCAGGCGGCCACATACTGAAAGAAGCTTGAACATTTCTTGTTGTTTCCCGCATGCGCTGCTCACTGTTTACAAGAGTTGAACAAAAATGTTTCTGCTAACTTAAATATAGAAAACGAGAGTAGTAGTTGTTTAGAAGAGTTGAACAAAACAAAAAAGTGGTTTACAAGAAGCCTGTGAACCTAATGGGAAACGATGTCTTGACTTGTTCTTGTAAAAAAAAAAGGGTTTCCGTTTGTTTTTTTCTCGAACTTCTGGGCTAATGTCTCGTATTAGTCGCACATATACATGTATGTGTGTTTTTATTGTTAAACATATACATGTATGTGTGTTTTTATTGTTAATAAGGGTCGAATGTAATATTTTCTTGGCAAACCTCATTTCAATATTATAATAAGCGAATCTTATTATATAAACCTTGGTTTTCAAAGTTAGCCATTACGTGACACGTGTCAATTATAAATAACAAAAAAAAAAATATAAAATTAAAAATTAAAAATTATATATTAAAAATTATTAATAAAATTAAACAAATAACCTAATTTCAGTTATGTCAATTTGGTTTATTAATAATATAGGGATTTAAAATTTATAATACTTTGTTTTCGTTTGCTAGGAAGGTTGTCATGCTTTCCAACAACCTATGTTATCTTTATAATATGTAGTGCCTTTGAGATAATAGGTATATAAATGATAAATGAGAATCATGGTTTATCTTTGTAAATTAAAATTATGGTTTAAGTTTAACAATTAAACAAGATTATATGTCGAAACTTGGTATTTAAATTTACATTATTATATAAACATTGGTTTTCAAAGTCAGCCATTAACAAGATCGTGACACGTGTCAATTATAAATAACAAAAAATATATAAAATTAAAAATAAAGAATTATATATTAAAAAAATATTAATAAAATTAAACAAATAACCTAATTTCAGTTATGTCAATTTGGTTTATTAATAAGATAGAGATTTAAAATTTATAATTAACAAGAATATATGGCAGTTTTTTTTTACATAAGAGGATTAAAGTTTAAACTTTAATTTTACAATTAAAACAGGTGATTTGTTGGTTTGGGTATATAAATGATAAATGAGAATCATGGTTTATCTTTATAAATTAAAATTATGGTTTAAGTTTAACAATTAAACAAGATTATATGTCGAAACTTGGTTTTTAAATTTACTAACTCACGTGATCATGATAAGTGTCAAGTAAAAACATAAGATGTCGCAACATGTTATATCTAATTTTGTTAATATTAAGATACAGATATAATTTTTAAACAACATTAAAAATAATTATAAAAAATTAAAGAGAATTTTTGAAAAATACCCCTTTTCAAAAATACCTCCTTTATCTATCCATTTTAAAAAATATCCATGTTTAAATATGAAAAATTATAAAATTTTATATGGTTTATAAGGTACTTCTATATAATAACTACTACTTGGAAATTTGATACAAATATTTTATAATGTTTTAAAAGGGTTTAAATCGTTTTTACAAGTTTTATAAGGTTTTTAAGTGGTTTTTAAAAGAGTTTATAAGGTTTTTAAAAGGTATTTATAAGTTATATTATGCTATTTATAAAAGATATATAAAATTTTAAACATATATAAAGGTAATTTGTGAGTGTATTTATAAGTTTTCACACATATTTGGATAAATTTCAACATTTAAAGTGGTTTTTATTTATTAAGTTTGAAATAGGGGTATTTTTAAAAACTGGTATGAGAAAAGGGTATTTTTGATAATTAAAAAGTAATAAAATTGATATTTATAAAAAAAAAATGTGTAAGCTTATATATTTAGACACATATTATCATACTATATGTGTAAATTTAAATACCATATAAATACTTTTTAAAAATTATTTTAAAAACATATAAAAACTTTTTAAACCTTATAAAAACCTTATAAAAGTCTTATAAATGCCGTTTAGAACCTTTTTAAAACTTTATAAATAGGATGATTTTGAAAACTACCCTGTTTTAAAGTTTTATTTTGAAAACTACACCTACCCTATTTAAAATAACAAATAGTTTTTTCTAATATATCAAAAGAAAATTCTGTCTTGATTTAATTTAAATGCTTCATTTATAAAATGCAAAATTTAAAGGATAAAATAAACTAAAATGATGGTAGATTATTAAAAATACGAAATCTTAGAAGAAATTATCTTTTAGATATTTTCAAATCTATAGTTTAATAATTATTAAATTTATACAAAGCAAAACAATTCCACAATTCAACTATATTATTATGTTTTTTTTTTTGTTGAAGGGTTAACTATATTATTATGTTTCTTCATGACTAGGTTGATTTTTTTAATCTTATTCTACAATATTTATAAAATAGTTTTTGTTTTTATAGAGATTTCTTTATGAGTGAAGACGTGCGTATGTTTGTTATTATGATTATGTTACTACCATATGTTTATAAAAGAATTTACGTAGAAATTGATAGATTCTGAAAATATATATAACAATATTATGTGTCTAGAATTTTAGGCTGTTTTTGTAAGAAAATAAATAAAAATAATAATTATACTTTTGCTTAATTTTTTTTTTCAATTTTCATTAAATTTCAGTAAGACCATTTTAGTAATTTTTTATATCTAAAAAATAAATTTAAAAATGAAAAAAGACAGAGGTTACTTTTCAAAGGTAAACTTGAAAAGGAGGCAGTTTTCCAAATTTTCTCTTTTTAAAAAGGGGTACACCTAAAAGGGTATTTCTCAAAAAATTATCTTTTAACTATTAACCTAATTTTTGGTTTTGCCAGTTGTAGGTTACAATTATAAGGATTATATGTTGAGTTTATAAATCTGCATTATAGTTTAGATTTTATAATTAAACGAGATTATTTATCGGTTTGGGTTTATTAAAGAGGAGTGAGATTTAGGTTTTACAATTAAACAAGGTTATTTATCAGTTTGGGTTCATAAAGGAGAATTAGGATTTACAGTTTACAAATAAATTAGATTTTGAGTTTACTTGAGTTTAACTAAATACATAAATTTGTTCATGATTTTTATTTTACAATATGTTATATTTGTTTAATTTTTAATTTATGTATGAATGTATTATGCCATTGAGCATTGTCTAAAACATAAGGGTGAATAAAAGATTTTCAAAAATAATATTTTTAGCTTAAATTAAAGATAACAAAGTCCAATATAAATCGTAATATCGTAATTTTAAAAATATTTTAAAAGAAAATATGTAGTTTTTTATAATTCATATTTGAAAGATTTTTTAGTGTTTTCTTCAACGATGCTATAATTTATTTTAGAATCTTTATGTTTATTTGCGTTGTTTATATGAATTTATTTACAAATGACTATATTTGTATTTAACATTATATTTTAGATTGATGTTAATTTGAAAGAACTTTACCATCATATTAAATAATAATTAATTTATTTTCATAGTCTGAGAATGATTTTCTGAATTGAAAGTTAAGAAATGTTTTTTTTTAACAAAATGGTATAATCATGTTTTAGAGGATAATTGCTAAATTAAGTTTTTTAAAAATATTTTAGCAATATTATGAGTAATGGTGAATAGCTCCCAAATAGCTCCCAAATGTTTTGATGATTGCCAATTTGACATTACTAGATTTTTATAATTATCGTTTAATAACGAATTTTAAGAGATATATATACGTTTATTTGATACTTTAAACCAAATATAATCTCTTTCCAAATGAAATTAATTTCTCTTATTTTTTCAAAAAACAATTTGGAAATTATTTTTTATAAGTTATAATAAATTTTAATTTTAATTTAATTTTAAATAAAGATAACCCGTCCATCGGACGGGTACTAAACTAGTATATATATAGAATCTAGTGTTCAATTCAAATACAACTGTTGGGTCTGATAAAAGCACACATAAATGGGCCCTTAATGGACTGACGAAAATGGATTATTCGTACATCAAGAAAGAGATTATTTATCCCACATCGGTTACTCTACTGATTTTGTGTATTTTTTATATATGAAAGGAAACGAACTGCCTACCGTCGAGCTAAGTATCAAGTGACCCAAGTGGGGACAATAAAGCGGTGGAACACTGGTTCGGTTCCTCAGGTCGGTTCTGGTGTTGGCATGTTTTTAAGCTGCCCAGTCCAAGCTGTGAGTAGTCTCTGTGGATCGAGCGAAGGCTTCGCTTAGTCGGATTCTAAAGTTGGAGGGTATTTTTTCCTCTTCTCAGTTCACAGCTTTTTAAACCTGTTACATAACTATGCTTTTTATTTTGGGCTTGTTTATTGTGGTAAAGATCCGTTTGGTTTACCAACTTTACTAAAATGATCCAACGGTATAAATTTAACATTTTTTCTGTGTAAAAAAATGTCGAAATGCTTTGAAACGCAGCGTTTTGTCGAAAAACATATTGGTCCGTCCCATATATCGCCGTCAGAAATACGGTGCCACAAGAATGAATTAGTCTCGCTCAATGGTGACTTTTTGTAAACAAAGAAATAACCTTGGCAAGGCATATATCTAACTCACCCTTCTTTTGCATCTTTACCAGCTCTATCCTCAGTACTTTAACTGTATCCAATGCCTTAACAACCACTGGAATCATCCTGGTCTCTTCAAATAGCTGAACAAATACTGTCATATTTGTTGACGGCATGGGATTGATCTTCTACTTCACAGGAGAATTGGAATGTCAATGATCTTCTACTTCACAAGAGAATTGGAATGTCAATGATCTTCTTATTTCTTGGTCTTAGAAGACTGTGATTAGCAAAATATAGTTGCAGTTCATCTGGTTCCTCTTCTGATCCAGTGTTATTCCATCTACATCAATTTCTTGTAGTTTTTTGAGCTGTTCCTCATGATCCTCAGCTTCTGCATTTCTTCCCACACTTTTTTTTATTCCTCTTTTGCCATTCCTCAAAATCCAAGCAAACTTTTTATCAATCTCAAATCGACGAAACTAAAATATAAAATCAATCCTTTGGTACCCAATTCTTAACATATCACTCCGATGAATCCACCTGCAACGAAACCATCAATGATATATCAGGAACAAATTAATCAAGAGTCTTACTAAAAGACATAGTAAATATTCTCAATTCAGTAAATAAAGATCTTGGTGGTGCAAAAGATGCCCATCTCTCCTTTACTTTCAAATATGTATCTTTGGGTGATTGGATGTGAATTTGAGAGAGGGATAAGTGAAGTAAACATAAAAAAAATACACCACTTCAGTAGTACCTTTTTAGTTCAAAGGTTTTGCTTTGAAATTTGTTACATTCTCGAGTTCCTCTTGCTTACGTTTTGCAGTAGTTTTTTATTTAGTAGGAAGAGCTCTTAGCATTGTTTGGATCACAGGGCTGGTTAATTTAGTAAGGTTAGGCCTCTAATCATAAATTCATAATGAATAAAAAAAGATTCATTTTAAGCTATAAATCTGTTCTAAAGTGATGCTTATCTCTGATAAAGGGTACTTACCTGAAAATGTGGCAGAGGTGGTGTACTTCTTTGATGGTGCAATGCAGACAAAGCTAGAGCTGCCCAAATCTGTAGTACATAACAGAACGCATAAGATTTTATTTAGTTTTCTATTTCTGAAGTACAGATAAACCTCAGTGAAACTAGATGCATTACCTTCTTGATCATAGTTCTACCTTATAACTTGGGAATCTTTGCCAACATCTCTTCCTCAAGTTATTTACGGCTTCGGTATAGACACCTTCTTTGTTCACAATTCTGAGATAACTTCCAATAGGCTGCATTGAATAAAACCAAAAACGAATTATTATTGGCTGAGAGACAATTAAACTTGAAACAGAACAAAATAGAGAAAAGCAGAGGATTTCGAGATTACTTACAGAGCGTGAAGAGGATTTTTCCATCTTTGGGACATAAATCAATGATGAGGAGGAAAAACGTTTCAGTCATACAATGAGATAAAAATTGGGTCACCTGTCTTAGTTTTCCATCAGCCAGCCTTTGCCATTTAATGTGTTGATTTTCCTGGATAAGAGCTAACGTTTGTACCACTCGTTTCCCTGTAGTGAAAGGCATAGATACATTAAAGAACTATAAGAAGAGGAACGTGAGACCAGCAAGGCTGACCACGGGGTGTGACAGAGTTGTCCATGATGTCATCAAATACGAGAAAATAAGCTTGAAGCTGCAATGCAAAAGATAAAACGACCATTGAGATAAAAGAAAAAGAGTGAGCCAGACAAATAGAGAGTAAAAAAGGGAATTACCCATTCAATGAACCACCTGAGAGCACAAGAAAGGGAAGTATCTTTATTGGTCAAATCTTGGCATGTAGCATGTAGCATGTAGCTATCAACCACGGAGAGACCACGATTGAGCTTCCTTACAGAACAACACAGAACACAAAAGTTTTCAATCTGAGTTGGTTAAGTTTGGATGAAATGTCTGAGACCGGCTCCTTTCACCACCAAATACGTTGTAGTCAAGCATCTGCAAAAAGAGGCACCAAATCAGCAGAAACGAAATGATCAACGATTCTTATTTAAATTGAAAATAAGTGACTCGTGGGGGAATATACTTGTTCAAGCAATTGACGGAGTCGTGGGTGAATTCAAACGAAGTATGAGATATGAGATATGGATCATGCTGGTTTTGTAACAATCTGCCTCCAACCAGTCTTGATTTTCCACCATCTAGTTTTTGCTTTCTGATGGCTTGACTTTAACACTCGTTCCCTGCAATAAGGCAATCAACACAAAGAAAAGAAAAGAAACTACTACAAGTTGAAGGTGAAACCAGATTTGGGAATAAGAATTAATGTGAACTACCTTTTCACATTTTTCTGAAGGATGATTTTGGCTTGAGCTATCTTTCTAGCAATTTGCTGCTTTAAAGTCTACTGGAGTGGTGGGATGGGTAAAAGATGTTCTCCTTGTTTTCTATCTGCTCAGGCGTCCGCATCCCCGAGATTATTGTTGAATGAACAAGAAGAAAAAGAAGAATTACAATAGCACCTCGTGACCTCACTTAACTACAATACCATTTCACAAAGATATGAGATCCTTGCAGTTTAGCTAACCTGCATACCTGCTTAGAGACTCAAGTTAAAGATATTGAAGATAATTCTGCATGATGAAGCTAGTGAACATTCTTCACATTTGAAAGGAGTACTAGACAAAAAAATTTCTCCATCTAAAGGAAGTGATCAAATAAATTATCCGGCCACAGACTGTTTGAAACTCTACCTAGAAACGATGTATGAGAGTATAGTTGAGAAAATTTGTGAAATTGGAAAGTTAAATGCCAAAGAGTTTGTTACCTCATTAAACAAATCAACAAGGTCAATGTAGCAAGGCATTCCCCTGAAGTGGTTTTTGAGAATCCTGTGGATCTGATTGCCAAGTAGAATCCCATTGTTAATAGCAATAAGATACCAACCTTTGGCTGTCTGAACCCAACCCACAAGGCTGACCATAGCGTGTGACAGAGTTGTCCATGATGTCATCAAGCACGAGAAAATCACCTTGAAGCTGCAATGCAAAAGGTAAAACGGCCATTACAATGAAGTCAAAGAGAGAGTCACACAAAGAGAGGGTAGAAAATGGGAATTAACTATTCAATGCACCACCTGAGAGCACACAAAAGGAAAGTATCAGCATCGGTCAAGTCTTGGCTTCTTTCAAGAGCTTGTAGCTATCAACCACGGAGATACCACAACTGTGTTCCCTACAGCACAAGAAAGAACAAACAAATCTTTGATATGAGTTGATTAATTTTGGATGAAATGTCTGAGACAGGCTCCTCACACCGCCGCCTATATTGTAGTCAAGCATCTGCAAAGAGAGGCAACATCACAGGTGAAGGTAATGCATTGGTGAAGAAGATGATTTTATTTTTCCAGTGCAGGGATCATCATCATCCCTAATTCTCCATCAATGGTCTATCAAGAACAAATAGGTCAAGAGTCGAACTAAAAGAAATAGTAAATATTATCAATTCAGTAAATAAAGAACTGAAACCATCAATGCATTACCTTCTTGTTCATATTTCGAGCTAATAACTTGGTAATCTTTGCCAACATTTTTTCCTCAAGTTATTTACTGCTTCGGTATAGACACCTTCGTTCACTATTCTAGGAAAACTTCCAATAGGCTGCACTGAATGTATCCAGAAACGAGTTATTATTATTGGCTGAGTGACAATTAAACTTGAAACAGAACAAAGTAGAAAAAGCAGAGGATTTCGAGATTACTTACTGAGCATGAAGATGATCTTTAGTACATAAAACAATGATGATGCGGAAAAAAATTTCAGTCATACAATGAGATATGGTCCATCATCCAGCCTTTGCCTTTTGATGTGTTGATTTTTCTGGATACGAGCTAACGTTATTACCACTCGTTTCCCTGCAGTGAAAGGCATAAATACATTAAAGAACTATAAGAAGAGGAACGTGAGACCAGAGTTGGTATCAAAATAATTAAAAATGTCATCGACCTTTTTAACACTTCTCTGATTACTGCCTTTTTCTTGAGTCAACAGTGACTGGTTTAGTTGTGAACTATTTCTTTCTTGGCTAGAAGGCTGCAATCAGGAAAACATGGCTCTTTGGTTCATTAAGGCTCTTTGCCTCCAATCATTATTCTGCATGGGAGGAAAACAAAAGGCATATTAGACAGCATGAAGTGTTTTATGCATATAAACAACTTTCTGGGGTGAAAAAGGCTTCATACCTGCTTAGAGACTTACGTTGAAGCTGGTTTACCCTTACCAAGTTTAAATTCCTGCAACAATAAGAAATGAGATCCTTGCAGACTAATTAAACAGATTCATTAAGCATTATAAAGTGATGATAGTCTCTAATGAAGGGTATTTAGCTGAAAATTCTAGCTGATGAGGTGTATTGCTTTTGTGGATATGGAAAGTTAAAGGCCAAAGAAATTGTTACCTCAAAAATCAACATACTAAGGTATTCCCCTGAAGTGTTTTTTGAGAATCCAGTGAATATGATTGCCAAGTAGAATCCCACTGTTAATAGCAATCATACCAAGCTCTGGCTCTCTGAACCAACAGGTTGACCACAGTGTGTGACAGAGTTGTCCATGATGTCATCAAGCACGAGAAAATAAGCTTGAAGCTGCAATGCAAAAGGTAAAACGAGCACTGAAATGAAAGTCAAAGAGAGAGTAAAAATGGGAATTACCACAGGTTCTGTAAAACTGAAAACGGGTTCGATTAAACTACCAACCCTAAACAAACTATCCTGCATAAATAGAAACAAGAAGAGAGAAACGTCAACACATTGAGCAGCTTCTAATCCTAAACGAATCAGAATCAAATGTCAAACGAATTTCAGCCACACAAAACAAACTTTTTTTTATAAATGTGATACTTAAGAAGAAGCAACGGCACAAAAATTAGAGTATATCAGTTGACGCTTTCAGAGATTAGCCAATCATTTTTCTGCGTACAAGGAAAACAGAGGCATATCAAATGGCATGAAAAGAAACTATCTAGGGGTGAAAAGAAGCTTCATACCTTATTAGAGACTTAAGTTGAAGCTAGTGAAGATGTTTATGCGTGCCATTGTTTGAAGATGAAATTCCTGCAACATTGAGAAATGAAATCCTTGTAGATTAACTAAACAGTTTCACTAAGCTATGGATTTTGTTATGAAGTGATACTCTCTGGGAAAGGGTATTTACCTGGAAATTCTAGCAGATGTGGTGCAGGCAAAGCTGGTGCTGTCAAAATCTGCATCAAATCACAGAACACACATGTTTCGTTTAGTTTTTTTATTTATCAAGTACAAATATACCTTGCTGAAACTAGAAGCATTGCCTTCTGTTTTTCAAAGGTTGAGCTTAAAACTTGGAAGTGAGCAAGACCTCGTTTTTTTCCTGTGGAGCAGCAGCGTTGCTGGTTTTGGATTGAGAATCTACATAAATCAGTGATGAGGAGGAAAGAGTTTCAGTCATGGAGGGACTCAATCTGATTTGGTAACAGTTTGGCTCCTACCTGTCTTGGTTTTCGCTGGCTTGACTTTCCAAACTAGTTAGTTTCGGCTAGCGACGTTTTTAACACTTGTTTCCCTGTAATGAGGCTATCAACAGAGAAAAACAAAAAGTTTACAAGAGGAACGTGAGAATGGTAATGGTATTTAAGAACGTGAGTTGGTATCAGAACGGTAATTAAGAATGTAACTTACCTTTTCACATTTTGCTGATGACTTCATTCTGGTTTAGACAACTGGGACTGGTTTATATTGGCCTGCATGCAGAATGACTTCCTCAGAATACTAGCTATCTTTCTAGCAGTTTGATGCTTTTTCTTAAGGTTCACCCACTTTTCTCCCTGAGAAAACTGCAGAGCTGGTTTGTGTTCTCCTTGCTTTATATCTTCTCCGACATTCACATTCCTGAGATTACTGTTTAATGAACAAAAAGCAAAAAGAACATTAGAATGGTTTGTCATCTTGTTTAACTACAATTAGATCTCACAAAGAATGATATAGATAAACGTGGCTTATGTGGTCTTATTGTAGATCTCTGAATCCTCGGAATTGTTATAGAGCAAAGTAGAGGATTACTCCATGGTTGGGTCATATATAATGGGATCATCGAGCTTTTACCCTGTGATTGGCTACATATTCAGTGTATCAGATTGGTAGAGCTAGTAGCTAGCAATGTTCGTAACACTCATTTCCCTGCAGTTAATGAAGCAACACATCAACACATGAATTTTTTTTAAAGAAAAAACCTTTAATTTGGTTCGTACCTGTCTTGATTTTCCACCATCTAGTTTTTGCTTCCTGATGGCTTGAATTTAACACTCGTTACCCTGCAATGAGGCAATCTACACACAAAAAGAAACTACAAGTTGAAGGTGAAACCAGTTTTGGGTACCAGTTTGGAAAGAATGTGAGCTACCTTTACACATTTTTCTGAAGGCTGATCTTGGCTTGAGCTATCTTTGTAATTTGCTGCTTTAAGGACCACTGCAGTGGTGGTATGGTTAAGGGATGTTCTTCTTGTTTTCTATATGCTCAGGCGTCTGCATCCCCGAGATTACTGTTTAATGAACAAGAAGAAAAAGATGAGTTAGAATGGAGGACTGTTGAATGAATTAGAACAAGACTCACGTTGAGTTGAGACTCTACCTAGAAACGATGTATGAGAATAGAGTTGAGAAAAATTGTGAAACTGGAAATTACCCATTCAATGCACACAAAAGGAAAGTCTCTTTATCAGTCAAGTCTTGGCTATCACCAGCTTGTAGCTATCACCCACGAAGAATTTCTAGTACTCATCGCTCAGACCTGCAATCAAAACCATCAATGGTATCAACAAAAAAAGATCAGTCAAGAGTTAAACTAAAAGACAGAATAAAGAACTGGAGATACTAGTTACTGGTTATATCTTGAGGCTTGCTTTGTCCTATATCCTGCAATAATAAGAATTATTACAAAAAGTTGTTGACTTTAAACAATTTGAAACAAAACCTTGAAGGGTTCTTCTTCTTTTTGAAGGATTCTTCTTCTTTTTGAAGGATTCTTTACTCATCGCTCAGACCTGCAATTTAGTACTCATCGCTCAGACCTGCAATCAAAACCATCAATGGTATCAAGAAAAAATATTAGTCAAGAGTTACTACTAGTTACTGGTTATCACCTGAGGCTTGCTTTGCGTTGGAGCTACTGAGTTCTATCGACGCTTTATCCTGAAAATACAAAGAATGGTTAAAATAAATAAAAAGAGTAGTTGACGAAACAAAAGTGATGGATGACTGAAACAAAACCTAGGGGCTTTCTTCTTCTTCTTCTTCTTCTTCGTCTTCTTCATAGACGTTGGCACATGGTCTCTACCTTGAACGATGATCTGATTCACAAATAAATTAAACCCTCAATTCTAATTGTAACAAAAATTAAAAAGAGAAAAAAACAATTTTAAAAAGCAAATTTGACTCACAGTTTTATGAATTCGACTCTCACAACACACCATCATCGATCTAATCAACTAGAAATCAATATTGGTGTTGTTACTGTAAGCACGGAGGCGACGATTGTGTTCAGAATGAACGGTAAAAACGAAGCACTTGTTTCAAAGAATCAAAACGAAAATAGATTTTGAGAATTAGAAGACAAGAAGAGTGATATTTGTTTTTTTTTGTTTTCAGGTGAGATAGTAAGTGTATGAACTTATGAAGATGTATCTAAGTATTTATAAACAAACTCGGAGAGTATCCGTTTTGTTGTATTACAATGAAAAAAAAAAGTAATAAAAAAGGAAATTTCCTATTTTTAATTATTGAGAAAAAGGAAATTTCCTATTTGTAATTATTGAGAAAAAGAAAATTCATATTTTGTATTTCTCCAGAAAAGGAAATTCAAATTTCCTATTTGTCACTCTCGAGAAAAGGAAATTTCTGGAAACAATAAAAAAGAAAGGAAATCACAAAAGAAAAATATCTGATTTTAAGGTCCATTGGGCCTTTGCTCTTTAAAGATACATATCTTATTTTAAAGTTCATTGGGCCTTCGTTCTTTAAAGATAGATATCAGATTTTAAAGTTTATTGGGCCTTCGCTTGTTATACAGCACATATCTCTCTTCTGTGATGCTCTCTCGTCGCCATCAGGAGATAAACACAAAACACGTATTGTTTTTACTATCAAAAAATCCCAAACAACAATCAAATTTATCGCTAACAGTAATTAACTTCTTGATGATATTTATGCAAGGCTAAATAACAATTAGTTAATAATAAAATTTACAAAATATTTGTATCGTGTAGCAAAGTTTTTGGGATAAATAGATACTGACCTACGCGTCCAGCCTCCGTGATTGGGACATGAAAGGAGAGACATAGAAGTATAATAAGCAAACTTAGAAAAAGAGACATTTGTTTTTTCTTTACTACCATTGCTCCTCTTCTATGTTACATGTTTACTAGTTTTAGGCTGTATACATATAGAAAACTGAAATTATTGGAGAAAATTAAGATTAAGCATTCAATTACTATTGAAGACTTAAGTGAGTAGTGCATAATTAAGTCACTCTCTTTTAATCTTGAAGACTTAGTTAAAAGTTTGAATATCACATCATTGAATAGTTTGATGATCTATTGTAACGCTCACACTCTCTCTTATCATAGATTTAGAAGTTTGCTAAGATACAAACATTCTATTAGAGTAAAAGTCCCACATCGAGAGAAGGGTGATTTGTAGGGCAATATATATAGTACATGGATCTCTTCACTCATTGCGAATTGGTTTTGAGTTGGACCCCATGTTTACTAATACATTCACACACACAAAAAAACGCTTCTAATCACCAAAATCATGGATTTATAACAAAGGATACATCTCTGACTTGTTTGCTCATATGATCGCCATTGTAATGCTTCAACGATTCTAATACCTCTCTTCTCTGAGATGCTTACTCTCTTTTAACTTGTTTCTGAGTGAAGAAGATTCTGATACTCTTTTTTATTTATTTCTCAAATCTCAACTTTGTTTTATAATTTCTGAGAGATTTAAGAAGAGTGATACTTTTTTTATTTCTCAAGTGAAGTAAGTGTATGAAGAGTAATTATAAATATCCAGGTTGCCATTTTTAAGAAGAAGAAAAAGAAAGAAAGAAAAAAAAACTATTTTGTAATTATGTGAAAAAGAAAAGATTTGGGATTCTTATGGATTTTGCCACTTTCTAACTCAAATTTTATCAATATGCCATTTTCACTAAAAATTTATAGATTTGCCATTTTTAAATTTGTTAAAATGTGTGATTTTTTTTTTTTAGTTGTGTTTTTAGATCTATAAAAGTGACAAATCTAAAAGATTTAACATAAAATGGCAAAAACAAAAATGCCATTGAGAAAAGTCCTTATTAAGTAATTAACTCTTATGATATAAGGTCATGGATGCTCTCTTTGTTTTCTATGTTCTCAGGCGTCCGCATCCCCGAGAACAAGGGAAGCTCTCCTTGTTTACTGTTGAATGAACAAGAAGAAAAAGAAGAATTAGAATGGCATCTCATGATCTCACTTAATTACAAGTGCTTTTTGAGAATTGCGAAGTAGAATCCCATCGTTTGTAGCAATCGTACCAACCTTTGGCTGTCTGAATCAACAAGGCTGACCACAGTGTGTGACAGAGTTGTCCATGATGTCATCAAGCACAAGAAAATAAGCTAGAAGCTGCAATGCAGAAAATAAAACAAACATTGAGATGAAAGAGAGGCTAAAAAAAGGGAATTACCCATTCAATGCACCACCTGAGAACACATTAAAGAAAAGTCTCTTTATCGGTCAAGTCGTGGCCTTGCTTCCAATAGCTTGTAGCTATCAACACGGAGAGACCACGATTACCCTGCAGAACAAAACCGAACACACAAGTGCTTGATGTGAATTTCAGAGAGAGGCTCCTATCACCGCCACGTACATCTGCAAAGAGAAGGCATCAAATCAGCATAAACGAATGATCAAATATTTGGAATTCAAACGAAGGATCTTGAAGCAGGTCAGAGCAATAATCGTCTCCCTGTAGTCAATGAGACAATAAACACATGAAAAGAGAGGAACGTGAGACCATATTTAAGTATTAGAATGGTTGTTAAGAATGTCACCTACCTTTTCACACTTTTTTGATGATTGCCTTTGGCTTGACATAACTGTGACTAGTTTTCTGGCCAAAGTACAGATGGATTCATTCAGACAACTTTGAATCAAACTCCAAAAAAAAATAAAAAAAAATTCTTTATGCTCATATCTTAATTCATCACTCACTACTCAGACCTGCAATCAAAACCATCAATGGTATCAAGAAAAAGCAGTCAAGAGTTGAACTGAAAGACACAATAAATATTATTAAATCAGAAAGAAAAAAAAAATTGGTGTTGCCCGTCTCTCTTTTACTTTTATATATCTAATTGATTTGAAGTTCGATTGAGAAAGAGATAAATGAAGTAAATAGTACTAAAATACACCACTTCAGTAATACCTTTTGGTTCAAAGTTTTTGCTTAAAATTTGGTGACTTCTTGAGTTGCTCTTACTCAAGTTCTGGAGTAGTGTTTTTTGGAACACAGGGCTACAAGGCTCCTTTGTTCAGTAAAGTGAGGACTCGAATCATTATTCTACGTGCGAGGAAAATAGAGGCATATTAGATGGCATGAAATCAAGTGTTTTATACATAGAAACAATTTTCTAGGGGTGAAAAGAAGCTTCATACATGATTAAAGACTTACGTTGAAGCTAGTAAAGATGTTTATCCATGCTGGTTAGCCCTTGCCACTGTTAGCAGATTTGGTGTACTTCTTTGTGGTTCAGGCAAAGCTGGAGCTCTCGAGATCTGCACCAAATACAACGTGTTAGGTTTTTTTTTATTTTTCTAATTCTGAAGTAAAAACATACCTCGTTGAACCTAGATGCACTACCTTCCTACTCTATGTTCTTTCACAGGTCTAGCTTTACACATGGGAAACTTGGGTGTTAAAAAGACCTTGTCTTGTCTTGTGGAGTAGAGTTGCTGGTTTTGGATTGAGTATCTACACAAATTTTTGATGAGGAGGAAAGAGTTGCAATCATGAAGTGATGCTGATTTTGTAACAATTTGGCTCCTACCTGTCTTGATTTTCCAACATCTAGTTTTTGCTTTCTGATGGCATGAATTTAACACTCGTTCCCTGCAATGAGGCAATCAACACACAAAAAGAAACTACTACAAGTTAAACGTGAAACCAGATTTGGGTATTAGAATGGTTAATTAATGTGAGCTACCTTTTTACCTTTTTCTAAATGCTGATTTTGGCTCAAGCTATCTTTGTAGCAATTTGATGCTTTTTCTTGTCCATACACTTTTCTCCCTAAGAAAACTGTAGAGCTGGTTTGTGTTCTCCTTGCTTTATATCTTCTCCAACATCCACATTCCCAAGATTACTGTTGAATGAACAAAAAGAAAAAGAACATTAGAATGGTTTCTCATCTTGCTTAACTACAATTAGATCTCAGAAAGAAACCTGGCATATGCGGTCTGATTGTAGATCTCTATATCCTCAGAATTGTTAGAGAGCAAAGTAAGGATTACTCCATGGTTGGCTCATATAATGGGATCATCTAGCTTTTACCCTGTGATTGGCTTTATACTCAGTGAATCAGATTGGTAGAGCTAGTAGCTAGCAATGTTCGTAACACTCATTTCCCTGCAGTCAGTGAAACGATACATCAACACATGAAATAAAAAAATAAAAAACCATCAATCACTATAATCAATCAGTCAAAGTTAATAATAATAAGATGAGAGTTGTAAAAGAGAAATACGACATGGAAACCAACAAGGTCCTCCTTGTCTCCCATCCTCACTTGCAAAAGAACACTTCCTTGCACCATATCAAAGATTCTGAGAGTTAATACAAGACAAGAGATCGTTTATCAACTTCTGATAATAGTAAAGAAAATAAGCTAACAAGGAATTTTGCTTACAGAGATGGTGATTGGTGAAGAAGATGACTTTTTTTTCCAGTGCAGGGATCATCATCATATCTAGTTCTCCATCAATGGTCTATCAGGAACCAAAAGGTCAAGAGTCGAACTAAAAGAAATAGTAAATACTATCAATTCAGTAAATAAAGAACTAAAACTATCAATGCATTACCTTCTTGTTCATAGTTCGAGCTAATAACTTTTGGAATCTTTGCGAACATTTCGTCCTCAAGTTACACCTTCGTTCACAATTCTAGGAAAACTTCCCTGCAGTGAAAGGCATAAATACATTGAAGAACTATAATAAGAGGAACGTGAGACCAGAGTTGGTATCTTAATAGTTAAATATGTCATCTACCTTCTAACACTTCTCTTACTACAGCCTTTTGCTTGAGACAACAGTAACTTGTTTAAATGAGAACTACTTCTTTCTTGGCCTTAGAAGGCTGCAATTGGGAAAACATGGCTCTTTACCTCCAATAATTATTCTGCATGGGAGGAAAACCAAGGCATATCAGATAGCATGAAGTGTTTTATGCATATAAACAACTTTTCTGGTGTGAAAAAAGCTTCACACCTGCCTAGAGACTTACGTTGAATCTATGAAGATGTCTATGCATGCTGGTCTATCCCTTGCCATTGTTTAAAGGCTAAGTTCCTACAACAATAAAAAAATGAGATCCCTCTAGATTACATATTCGTTACGCTATGATTCTGTTATAAAGTGATCACAGATGAAGGGTATTTACCTGAAATAGCAGATGCGGTGTATTGCTCTTGTGGATCTTCAAACGAGCTCATAATATGAACTCTCATGTATTAGTAACTAATTACCTGTACTTGGAAGTAAATTCCCATGTCAACAAGAACATTCTTCACATATGAAGGAGTACTTGGACAAAATATTTTTCTCCATCTAAAGCTACTGATCAAATTAATTATCCGGCCACAGGCTGTTTGAAACTGTACCTAGAAACGATGTATGAGAATCGAGTTAAGAAAAATTGTAAAATTGGAAAGTTAAACGCCAAAGAGTTTGTTACCTCATTAAACATATCAACAAGGTCAACGTAGCAAGGTATTCCCCTGAAGTGGTTTTTGAGAATCTTGTGGATACGATTACCAAGTAGAATCCATTGTTAATAGCAATAAGATACCAACCTTTGGCTGTCTGAACCCACGAGGCTGTGTGAGTCTGTGACAGAGTAGTCCATGAGGTCATCAAGCACGAGAAAAGAACCTTGAAGCTGCAATGCAAAAGGTAAAACGAGCATTGAAATGAATTTAAAAGAGAGAGAGAGTTACACAAAGAGAGAGTAAAAATGGAAAATACCCATTCAATGCACCACCTGAGAGCACACAAAAGGAAATTATATGTACTCGGTCAAGTCTTGGCTTGCTTCAAGAGCTTGTAGCTAACTAGCTATCAACCACGGAGAGACCACAACTAAGCTTCCCTACAAGACAAGAAAGAACACTCAAATGTTTGATATGATTTGATTAATTTTGGTTGAAATGTCTGAGACAGGCTCCTCACACCGGTGCCTAAATTGTAGTCGAGCATCTACAAAGAGAGGCACCAAATCAACAAAAACAAAATGATCAAAGACTCTGATTAAAATTAAAAATAAGTGATTTGAGGAGGGAATATACTTGTTCAAGCCATTGTTGTGGGTGAATTCAAACGAAGAACCTCGAAGCAGGTCAGACCAATACTCGTTTCCCTGCAGTCAGTGAGACAATCAACACATTAAAAACACCTATTACAAGAGAGGAACGAGAAATGAGAGATCACTAGAGTCAACGCAATTACTTATTTTTGCAAAAGTAGAGGAATTTGAGATTACTTACAAAGCAGAAGAGGAATTTCTTTTCTATCGTTGGGTCATGATTGGACCATCTATGTTTGTAACACTAGTTCCCCTGCAGTCAGTGAGACAAATCAACACATGAAAAAAACAAAAAAAAACATAAATCGCGATATGAAGTTATTTGTTAAGAATGTCCCCTACCTTTTCACACTTCTCTGATGATGTTCTTTGGCTTGAGATAACTGTAACTGATTTTTTGGCCAAAGTGCAGATGGATTCATCATCAGACAACTTTAAATGAATCTCAAATCGATGAAACGCCAACAACAAAAAACGATTCTCTAGTACTCAACGCTCAGTCCTGCAAGCACAGAAATTAAAGTATATCAGTTGACGCTTTCACTGATTAGCCAATCATTATTCTGCGTACAAGGAAAACAAAGGCATATCAAATGGCATGAAAAGAAACTATCTAGGGGTGAAAAGAAGCTTCATACCTTATTAGAGACTTAAGTTGAAGCTAGTGAAGATGTTTAGCCCTTGTCATTGTTTGAAGATGAAATTCCTGCAACATTGAGAAATGAAATCGTTGCAAATTAAGCTATGGATTTTGTTATGAAGTGATGATACTCTCTGGGAAAGGGTATATACCTGGAAATTCTAGTAGGTGTGGTGCAGGCAAAGTTGGTGCTTTCGAGATCTGCATCAAATCACAGAACACACTGGTTTCGTTTAGTTTTCTATATATCAAGTACAAATATATACCTTGGTGAAAATAGATGCATTGCCTTGTTGTTCTCTGGTTTTTCAAAGGTTGAGCTTAAAACTTGGGAGTGAGCAAGACCTCGTTTTGTCCTGTGGAGCAGCAGCGTTGCTGGTTTTTTGATTGAAAATCTACATAAATCAATGAGATGGAGGAAAGAGTTTCAGTCATGGAGTGCATCAATCTGATTTTGTAACAATTTGACTCACCTGTCTTAGTTTTTGCTGGCTTGACTTTCCAAAACTAGTTATCTTCCGCTAGCTACGTTTGTAACACTTGTTTCCCTGTAATGAGGCAATCAACACAGACAAACAAAAAGATAACAAGAGGAGCGTGAGAATGGTAATGGTAATCAAGAATGTAACTTACCTATTCATATTTTGCAGATGACTGCATTAGGCTAAGTGCAGAATGGATTCCTAAGAAGACTAGCTACCTCCAAGAGAAAACTGCAGAGCTGGTTTGTGTTCTGCTTGCTTTATATCTTCTCCGACATTCACATTCCCGAGATTACTGTTGAATGAAGAAAAAGAAAAAGAACATTAGAATGGTTTCTCATCTTGCTTAACTACAATTACATCTCACAAAGTATGATATAGAAAAACATGGCATATGTGGTCTTATTGTAGATCTCTGTATCCTCGGAATTGTTACAGAGCAAAGTAGGGGGTTACTCCTCGTGCTCCGATCCTCACTTGCGAAAGAACAATTCCTTGCACCATATCAAAGATTCTGAGAGTGAAATACAAGACAAGATATCGTTTATCAACTTCTCATAGTAATAAACTAACAAGGAATTTTACTTACAGAGATGGTGATTGCTGAAGAAGATGATTTTTTTTTCCCAGAGCAGACATCATCATCAATACATCACGCCTAATTCTCCATATCACGAGAAACCATAAAACCAAAAATCTGCTCCCTCTCTCTCTCGCTCTCTCTCTCGCTTTTTCCTTTTTATGTTGATTTTCGTCTCAGCAGGGAAGAAATAAGAATGAGATGACGAGGGAGAGAGTTCCCCCTATACGTATTTATAAACAGAGGGGAAAAAAAGGAAAAAAAAAAACAAAAAAAAAGGAAATTTCTATCGTTTGTCAAAAGAAAAAAAGGAAAAACAAAAAAAGGAAATATTCGAGAAAAGGAAATTGCTAATCCAAAAAAGGGTGATTTACCACCTAACACACTTTAAGGGGGAGAGGTTACAAAAGACACACTTTGCAATTGTTGTGTACTTTTGGCACTGTTTGTCCCAAAAAAAGACACAAACTGCCCTAACAAAGTGAAATTGTGTCTCGTATGTTTCCAACTCCCTCCGTCGTCGTCCGTTTTGATGAGTAACTTCGTTCGTAACTTCGTTCGTAACTTGGTTACTATTAATTATATAATTGAATTAAACAAGAATATAATAAATCAATAAAACTAAGTGGTTTATAGCTTTTTTCTTCTCCAACAAATAGAGAAGGTAGCCCTGTTTCGTCTTCTCCAACAAATCGAAAAGTCACACACACACACACCATCTCTATACCATTGCAGCATCTAGGTAAGTGCTTCTGAGTTTTCTCGTTTATGTTAAACTTGTATATACTAATTTCTCAATCACTTTGGATGACAGATCTAGGTAAGTGCTTCTGAGTTTTTTTAGTTTTTGTTTTTCGTTTTTACAGATCTAAATCGGTAGTGACGATACTCTTTATGATCATGTGGATGAGGGTTTGTGGATACCGATGACCTATTCTGTCCAAAAAATGCTTCCAATCATTCTTAATACTCTCATCTTCAACGTTGGATAGACGATTATTGTCCATATGTTCACATGTACAGAGACACACTCATTTACACTCATTTGTATAGGAATGTTCTCATGTACATATGCACTCATTTATACTAAAACATGTAAAAAGTAACCACATGTTGTTAAAATGTCCAAACACAAGTATGAATATCCAGAAACGATATTACAGTTGACCATCCAATTATCAGTGAATAAATGGTCAACTACAAATGGATAATATACATAATATAATTCATCAGATGCTCTTTGTGATCATGTGGATGAGGTTTTTTTGGATATCGATGATCTATTATGTCCAAAAAATGCTTCCAATCATTCTTAATACTCTCATCTTCGACGTTGGATAGACGATTATTGTCCATATGTTCACATGTACAGAGACACTCATTTACACTCATTTTTATTGGAATGTTCTCATGTATATATGCACTTATTATATACTAAAACATGTAAAAGTAACCACATGTTGCTAAAATGTCCAAACACAAGTATGTATATCCAGTCATGATATTACAATTGACCATACAATTATCAGCGAATAAATGGTCAAATACAAATGGATAATATATATAATATAATTCATCCAGAAATATAGTAAAATGTATCTTCAAATATAGGAAAAATGGAAATATTGAGTATTGTACAAAAATAAATATAAAATATTGTTATAATAACAAGATAAAGTGATTATAAAAAAGAAAGAAAAAAAATGAGAAAGAGAAAGAGGAAAAAAGGGAAAGAATTGAAAAAGAGGAAGAAGAAAAGGAAGAGGAAGAGAATGTAAGTGTTTAGTTGTGTGGAATTTTAGTTGGGATGGCAAATGAGTTAATATGTTGTCAAAGTGAGGGTGAGAGAGTAAACAAACTTTTCCAAAGTGCACCATGAGTTTATAAGTGTGTCATAATGCAATTAAAGTTTTGAAAGTGTGTCCACACGCAATTAACCCTAAAAAAAATACAAAAAATGGGAAATATCTCTACCTTCCGCTTCTCTCCTTGTCTCTTAAAAATTCAAATCCGAATTTGATTTAAAAAAAAAGTATAAAAAGACCTTAATTCACTTGTTATTGGACTATTTAGACCCATTATTGGCCTTATTAAATTAATGTCTATAATAAGTGTTGGTTTAGTAAAAATATTAAACAGGAATATGTTAATCTTTCGTGCAGCAGTCGGTTAGAGTTACTTTTAGTGGATTCAATATCAACGACGCCGCTTTGTTTTTGAGGATCTTCGGAAGAGCTAACGTCTGCTTATTTCACCATTGCTAATGTCTGCTTAAATGGTTTATCTATTTACGCGAACCTTGTATAAAAATGGGCATGTGCGAGTCTTTGAACTCTCTCATCACCAGCCCGATTAGGGAGAGGGCGAATTAGCAAACTTTCGGATTCGAACTAAGGTTAAAGGAAAGATGGAAACAGGAACGAGTAACATACAGTATGTGATAGGTGAATTTAGTAGACAAAGAACTTTGACATGAAACATTACGAAATTTCTTGGGGGCTGTGTACAATTTGAGTGTCCATATTCATAACCACTAAGAGCGTAGCAAATTTGTATACACAACAAGATAAAGAGATGGGAGAAAAGAGAAGTAACCAAAACACACCCAACTACTAGAAACTAGGGTGTGTGGGTAACAAGTAACGTGTCAGAGTCAATAGACTGAGTATCATCTGCCTTTTTACCATTTATATCTGACCAGCAAGCCGAGCTTTGGTGCTCTGGTTTGGAAAAAGTAAGATCAGGATCAATCTTGGTGGATCTCATCGAAAGGTGCAGCAGCAAACCTCACGTTTTCAGGCCGTGCAACCACAACTGGTTCATCTGCAAATAGGGCTTTGAGGAATGATGGAGTCTTTAGAGGATGACGATTAGTCATTCGCGGGTAAACCTCTGCCAGAAAGTAGTACGCATGACCAGCTATCATACCCTGTAATTATTGTGGATCGGCTCAAGACTATGTGGAGGATAAAGATTAAAAGAAATTGGATAAGAAACGTTGGGATTGTTGACTATATACCAGAAGATCCACCCAGGCACTGGCACCAACAAGGATAGAGAACCCAAGAAGCACCTGCAAAATGACAGATTTTAAAGAAAATGTAATTTCTTCTCTGGTTGAAGTTTAGGGGAAAAAGAGGACGCAAGAAACTTGCACTCACCCACGGTAGGTAAGCTGCAGTGAACGTGAACAGACCAAGGAAACTCATGTGAATATAAGGATTTTGTTTGCTCCATACATAGACCTGTAGTACAGAAGAGACTGTTAGCTGCTGGTTTGAAGACCTAGATATGTGAGGAAAAAGGTGTTACAGAAGTTACAAACCATCATAAAAGTCAATGAGTTGCTGAGAAAGATGATTTTAGCAAATGATGCAGACAAGTATGGTATCATTCCGCCGATAAGAACAATGCCAGTTAAAACAGATGCTCCAAATAAGAGCATATATAGGAAATCAGCAGTCTTTCCCCTGAATGAGTTTTCTTCAAGGAGTTTGCAGTATCGCGCAAGAAAGAACATATGGAACATGAAGTCCAAATCTGTCAAAAAACCCAAAAAATGAAGAAATTTTCGATCAAAAATGCAAAAGCAAACTAGGCAAATTGAATACACAATCAATTCAGTCAAAACGCTATTAAAAGAAGCAGCCAAACCTTATCAGCAGCCTAGAGCTAGTAATGTGACAAAGCACACAAAATAGTCAAGCATGTGATGCAAAAGTTCAACTCAATCTAAAGCTTCTGAACCTTTCAAATTTTGTACAACTAAAAAAGGGAACTTTCAGAAACTAAAGAATCACTACTTAGCAGTTATGTGAGTGTATCTACATCAATGAGAATCATAACTACAAGGCAAGATAATAATACATCAACTCAGAAAGAACTAATGAACTAATATACCATGAACATAACTCATAACCTATCCTAATCAGTTCTATAGCCATTTCAACACAGACACCTATTCAGAGCTTCTTCGCAACTACAGACAAAATTCACAGACGAATGTTGTATCCACAATTTCTCAGAGTCTAATAAACTTACCCATCTTCCGGAAATACAAGAAATTTGTAACGAGACGCCAATATTGGTATTGCTTCACCACAAGGGTAGGATTCAGGTAGAGGTTATATGGAGATATAATCTGCACCAAACCAAACCCAAAAGAAAAAAATCAAATCAAAATTATGAAACCCTAACTAATCAAATCAATTTGAACTAAGGAAAATTTAATAACAGAAACAAAATCAAAAAAGCTTCTAAAATTTCACAAAACAAAAGAGAGATTGGCGAATACATCAAGCGAACATCCGACGGTGGTGATAACAGCCGCCGTGAGATACGAGCGAGTGATAATCGGCATCTGTTTATACCATTCTTCTACAGCCTGAGCCATATCTTCTTCTTCTTCTTCCTCTCTTCCGTAATCGCAATCGATCCGATCAAATCAACAAAGTAAAATTCAAATCGTTAACGAAACCCTAAAAACCCAAACGTCGACGAGAGCTACTTCTTCTACTAAGGTTGCAACGAGTGTTTCAGATTGAAATTTTTTTACAGAAGAAACAAACGAAATCGATACTGTTAAGAGCTTCTTCCTTCTTTCGTATATACAGAATTTAGTTTAGTAGTTTAGACATTTGCAGTATTTTTGTTTAATTTTGACCCAAGCCGAACGAATGACTAAGCGCGTGGTTGATACTACCCAATTAGAAGACGTTGATGACGTCAGCAGTTATACTGAAGAAAGTTTAATTGAACCGAGTTTATATTAATTTTAACATCTAACCGAACCGGAATTAAGCTCAATTAATAACCAAAGTTACATATGATCTAAAGTTATTTTTCTATGTTTTATAATCTTTTTGATGACATTTTGGAAGAATACATTCTGAATTATACATTTTTTTTTTACAGTAAATGTATTTGTTTATAGAACTATAGTATACATCTATTGGGGTTTTTTTTTGTTTTTTTGAAAACATCTATTGGAATTCATTTTGAACAATTTCATATGCAAAAGACTAACACTGGATTATGTTCTAAATTTTGAGCTAAAAACTGGAATATACAAAATAATCACAGAAATTGAAAAATGTAAAATCCTTTTAGTTTGAAAGATTGGCTGCACATTTCAGGAAAAAAAATTGTTAGAATGTTTTGAGTATTTTTACTCTTGAGCTTTATCAGCTTTACCAACAAATCCATTATCTTTATTCACAGAAGAATCATTCTCAGGCTGACTCAAACCATCTGTTTCTTGAAGAATCTGTGTTGCAGAATCTGAGTTTGAATCAGAAGCCTTCATTTGCATTGGCTTCATCAGCTGCTGGACCTTTGCAGCAGACTCCACGTTTATATCAGAAGCTTTCATTTGCATTGGCTTCAAACCAACAGCATTGGTTTCACCAGCTGTGATTTCTTCTTGAGCTTGGATCTCCATCGAATCTCTGAAAACTTTGCTCAGAAAGCTTACGTCGTCAGACATTACTCCAAATCCTGTCAACAGCTTCGAACCTAGCTGTAGACTTGTCTGCAAACCAAAACAAACAAACTCGTTCAGACCGATATCTCAGTGTAGTCACGAAAGAGAACATTTTTTGAAGTTTTACCTCTGCATTTTCTAGGATTGCGTCTGTGGCTCCTGCTTTCTTTAGTTCAAGGAGATGCGGTAAATCTTGAGCTCTCGCGTAAATCGGACTCTGGTAATATATTAAAAGCAATCATTTTCAGCCATTTGGTAATTTCAGATGTTTGAATTGAAAAAGGAAAAAGGAAGAGCGATAATTACCCCGGGGAAGGCAAGACGGAGTCTTTGAACCGCCTCAGTAGTTCTCTTCTTGCCTTTATACATTATCATGATAGCTTTAGGAGATGAAACACCTGCAGACTGCAAAACTGATGGTCGAGATCCGTCTCCATACAATATCGGGAAACCGAGTTTCCTTGATTCCTACCAACAACCAACATAAAGAAAATATAACCAGTTTAGAGTGCCCACAATTTTATCAGATATAACAAAAAGAATCTGTTATCTGTTTCAGACCTTCACTACAGCAGGATTCAGATCAAAACCAATGTAAGGCCATCCCACAAGATCACTATCTGAGACCAATGGCGTCGACAAAAAATTGGCCAGCACCTGCAAAATCATAGTGACTTGATAAGAAACCCCTCACCACAACTTTTACAGGAAAGCAAATGATGACTTTTACCTGACCCATTTGTCCAAATCCAATGATGACAATTGATTCACTGACGTCGAAGTTCACATCTTCACCTATTCTCTGCAGAATTGTAGACAGATTCATTCGTAACAAAAGCAAATCTTGTTTTCCATATAAGTGCAGAAAAATAGAGATTTAGAAGTTACGTCTCCAGGATCAAGTTTCTCATCGAGAAAATCTGCAGCTCTTTTTCCAAGTTGGTTAAGATAAGGTGTTAACGCCATAGACAAAACAACAACGATAATGAGCAGCTTGTTCAGCTCATTTGGAAGCACTCCTAGCCTACACAAATGATTGTAACCACCTAATTAGTAAGGGAAATGTCGAGTCAAATGTAATGTTTGGAGATGTTTGAGCAAAAATATTGATAGTTAGAAAAAACCTGTTGGCTAAAGAGAACACAACAAATGCGAATTCTCCTCCCTGGGAAAGAAGAAAACCGACCCTTACGCTTTCTTGTAATGTGAGACCAACTCGGGGACCGATTGCGGTTATGATCAGAGTTTTGATCACAATCAGACCACCCAAGAGTGAGAGGACATTAGGCCATTCTCGAAACAAAACCTGCAAAAGATTTTAACCACATAAACATGGATATGAAATGTTTCATATGTTTTAGCGAAAACCAGTGAATCTTTATGCAATGCAATATAACATTTTACCTCCATGTCAATGGAAGTTCCTGTGGTCACAAAGAATAAACCAAGAAGTAACCCTCTAAACGGCCTAATATCAGCTTCTATTTGTGTTCGGAAATTTGTTTCTGCTAGAAGTGCGCCAGCAAGAAAAGCTCCAAGCTTCAGAGTTAAATTGAGTTAGGCCATTATAGTGAGGATTTTAGATGGAACTTTTATTTTTGAAGGGGAAGTAATTCAAACCGTATCGCTGAAACCAAGCTTTTGAGTCAGAAGTGAAGTCCCAGCAACTGTGAGAAGGCAAAGGGCCACAAAAGCTTCTGAACTTCTGGTTTCTGCTACAACCTGAATATTGTTGTGGAATTAGTATTGAGCTTTGCACCAAATAATACAGTGTCCTGTATTCACTCACTTAAAAGGGGGACTCAACATAAAGGGTTTTGTAAAGTTATAAGGACACAAAATAACTTACCTCGAAAACTCTACGGAGAAAGAACTTTCCTCCAAGAGAGAGAATGCCCAACCCACCAAGAGCCTTTGCACTTTCTTTTGCAAGCATAGGCCATATACTTTCCCCACCAAGATTCTTGCAAAATTACGGAAATTCAGATATTAAGTGCAAAGGTTTTAATCAATACTAATCTATAGCTACTTATAAATATTATTCCACAAAAGTTCAAGAAGTCGATAGCCAAGTTACCTGGCTTTCCAACACCGGAAGAACGACTAGTAAGGGTACAACAGCTATATCCTGCAAACAATGGGACGCCGGAATAGTAAGAAAAAGTTTGTCTACTTCAGGAGTTCGCACAAGATTTTTTGCATATCTTGGTGAATTTACAAATCAACTGATTCTTTTCCGAAATACATGTTTTCTATAACTTATGGAGTATCGGATAAAAATTCATAGAATAGAAGATAGGGATTATACAGGATAAGCAAAACCTGTAGAAGAAGAATTCCCAAGGTTGCTGAGCCAAATCTTGTAGGGAGCTCACCTTTCTCTGCAAGCAGCTATACATTTCGAAAATGTCAATAAATATACTGAAGTCTTGAATGAGTTTGCCTCTTCTCATAACCATTGTAGAAATATGACTTAAAGGTATCGCAACTGTGCTAATACCTGTAGAACAAAAGCTGAAGATGACAGTGAAAGAGCAGCGCCAATGACTACGGCCTCATCAATGCTTCTGATGTTGACCTAGAGTTGTACAGAAAGTATAGATCATATAAGGATATAGCTTTAATAGTCTAGCATAAAGCATTGGAGGTGGACAGTTATGAGACTATCTATCATCGGGTAAATAGGTGTCTACTAAATTTCAAAAACATTAAGCAAAAGGTACTAAAAGGGCAAGAGAAAATCTTAAGAACACCCCATGTGAAAAGTCTTACCAAGTCAGGCCTTGAATGAAAGAGGAATTCGAGAATTCTTGTTCCTATGGCCCCATTTGGTGGGAGTTCAAAAGCAGTGAATGCAAGCGTGCATAACAAAACCTTTAAAACAAGAAAAAGGGTCAATGTAAAACAGCACAAGTAGGGTACCGTTAAGGAAACGATGTATGAACTGACATCTTAGAAGACAATGATCTACCAAATTGAGTCTGCTAGATTATTGCCTCTTGAGATGTTTATCTGACAGAAGTGAAGATATAGGAAGGAATGAAAGCGGTTTTAGGACCTTACCTGAGTTAGTCCCATGCCAAAAGCAAATTTTGCGAGAGCTTTCAGACGTGCAAGTGAAAGCTCTAGACCCATCTCAAAGAGCTGCCAAAGAATAATCAGGACAATCCCGGTCATTACCACTTATTCGATACATAAAGCCTTTCTGTCAACGAAACAAACCAAATGCTCACCAGGAAAAGAATCCCCCATTCCGAAAGAACTTTAACATCTGTGAGATTTCTAATCAAACCAAATTGATTGAGTACAACACCAGCAAAGAAGAAACCAAGTATCTGGGACATCATCAAAAAGACAAATGTTATCGCCAAGTAGTTATAACAAGGAGAATATAAACTAACCCCATGTAGCATTTTGTTATACCGGACTGGCTTTGAGGACTCTGAATGCAGGGACAATAATAACAGTGACCATCAAGAAGGTCAAAGTATCGAATCCAAGATCATTGATTACATCAACAGCACTTGCTACATCATAACTTTGTACCACTCTCTTCCCGGAAGGTTCAGACCATCTACCTTGGAAATAGAATCTTCTAGAAGTATCCAGAAAAACTGTTCTTTTAACTAAATCTGTACCCCCAAAAGAATGCAATTTGATCCCTTTGTTTACTACGCCTTCCGAATACACAGGCACACACGACGATTTCACCGTGAAAACACAATGCTTCAAACGACCACTGTGTTGTTTAGCTATCTCATAACCCTGCAATCGAATCAGAACCAGGATTCAGCAAACAAGATTCACTGTCAAGAACCAATACTAAGGCTTAACTATGGTTTTTCACATAAAGAAGTAATTTTTCAGTCAAAAGACATGCGAGTCAGCCGAAGAAGAGGGAGAAGAAAGCAGGAAATACCTTGGGAGAGGGGCAACAAGAGATGGACCCTAACATAGTACTAATTGCCATATTGAGATGAAATCCACAGAAGTAAAGCCTAAAGGCAATTACTTTTGTTACCCATAAACACTAAAGGCTCGAACTTTAATTTCAGATAATATTACAGAACCAACACTCCGATGAAAAAATTGACTAAAAGCTAAGGAAGACAATAGACCACGTCAGAGACGGGAGCACCTTGTGTGTATTTTCTCCAAGTATACGATTCTATATACATACATGCATAGGGAGTGAGAAAGGAGGGAAATTTTCAAGTCTAGAGAGATAAAAGATTCATTTTTTTTTTTGGTTTTAATCTCATTTTTGTATAATTTTTGTGGATAACTTAAGACCTCACTGATATTGAAGCGTCGTTACAAGCCACACAGACAGATTCTGATTGTAGAAGAAGACAATCCTTTTCGGTTTTGGCTCTCCTCTTCTGTTGCTAACACTTAAACCGGTAACCGGTTCTCATCGGTTTAGTAAACAACACGTGTCTATTGTGTTTTTTCACGGGCCGAATTTTTCGTACGAGTGGGCCTCACAGTGCAGCTCACCAGTTTTTTAAAAATAAATTAATATAATATTAATAACTTTATTTTAACGGCAAATTATAATTTTAATTATATCAAAACCATAAATTTATTGAGGAAACAACAATAATTTTTGCATTCGGAAATTTTTCATATCGTCTGCCATATTTGCTTAGGAGGTTAACTGGTTTAAAATTTAAATAAAAATTATGTGTGATCAGTTATTAGTTTTTTTAATTAAAAGTAGAGAGTTTTTAAAAGGTTTATACGGTTTTTATAAGGTTTTTATAAAGTTTTTATAATTTATTTTACGCTACTTATGAAAAGTTATAAAGTTGTATACACATATAAAGATAATTTGAGTATATATTTATAAGTTTACACACATATTTGGATAAATTTCAATATTTTTAGTTGGATAAATTTCAATATTTTTAGTTGGATAAATTTCAATATTTTTAGTGGTATTTTTGATAAATTTTAAAAGTGGAGTATTTTAAAAAAGATGTATATGAAAAGAGTTATTTTTGAAATTCTCCCTTAAAAGTATGTATTATATTGGTTGAGTGAAATAAAAAAAATTTACACTTACTTTAATGGATTTGGATATGAAAAATACAAAGAGACAAATCCAGAGATGAACCAAGAAATTTGATTTTAAAATTAGATCTCATATGGATTTCAAAATGCATAATACATGAACCAAGAAAGGCATCTAGCTAGGCATCACTTTTGATGATCAGTGAGATGGGAATGGCGGAAGAGAACTTGAGCGCAACGCTGTTGATGCAATGGCGTTCGTCGGTTGGTGTTGGGAAGCCTTCGTTTTTTAAGACATGGCCGAGATGTCCATCACATTTTGCGCATGTTATCTCATATCTTAACCCTGCTCTCTCCTCCTGCATGCAATATTAACATTTTGTTTTCATTGCAAGTGTTCGTCCACTTGACTAGGATTGTAAGATTTGTAAACTAGCTAGCTGTTTGTGCTAATGAAGTTGTGCTAGTTATCCTAATCACTCGAAATCAAATCCGCTAATTATTAAAGAAAACATATTCGTTGGTTTGTGATATACTTTAAAGCAAAAGATATGGTACTTCTAGCTACAAGATACAATTGTTATATATTATGTATATATGGATTATGTTATATACGTACACCTAGATGGATTTGATTTTCATTCTTACAAAAACATGATAATATTACAAGACTCTTAACTAATAATAACTTTTTTTTTTCTTTTTCTTTTGATGTAATCGAACTTCTGAAACTAAAAAAAAAAAATATGGACACTATATGTACATCAGTACATGCAGCCCCATATGAACCACATAAATTTTTAATCGTGGTTATAATATAAGTATGCATGTATCTAGTTATGATTCAATTCCATTTCTCGACATGCATAACTACAATTAGCTCCACATAACTTTCCTTTATTTGTGTTTGTGTTTAAAATATGAGTAAAACTGATTATAGTAACTCAACTACCATTATCAGTTTAGCAATTACCTATGTTTAACGTTTTAAACCGCAAGAATGCCTGTTATGTTATATATATTTTGGGATTTAATTTAGTTACATATATATGTATAACATAATAACAATCTAACTTTATAAGAAGAGAAAGGAAAAAAAAAAGAGAGTGGATGTTATGTTTACAGCTCGGTTAATGGCGCCGGGAATAGCATCGAAAAATGCAGGCCAACCGCAACCGGAATCGAATTTAGTGGTTGATTCATAAACCGGGTTTTCACAACCAACACAACAGTAGATTCCATCCTCGAACAGCTTCACATATTCTCCTGACCCTCTCTTCCTACGATGATCAGTCAGAAAATAAAAATATATACAAAACGTTATCAAACCTAAAACGTGCGGCTTAAGAAACAAAAAAACCCTAATTAGAAGAGGAAGAAAAAAGTTAATAATTACTCGGTAAATTTCTCCCGAAGAGTCTTGAACTGTTCAGGAGATAGAACCGCACGCCATTCCTCCTTGGATCTTCTTACCAAACAAGCTTCCGGAGCTGTCGTCATATTTTGGTAAGTTTGTTAAGGTTTGGCTATGAAGAATCGATACATTAATTTGTGCATATTTATATGCCTAGAGAAGCTTTCACCTTTTTTTTTTCTTTTCCTACATTCTGTAAACAACTAGTTGACACGTTTTGCACATTGGTTTTTTTGTTTCTGGTTGTAATTAACTTTGTCTTTCAACTTTAGAGTATGTGGAAATCGAATCTTACATCAAGCACACCACCATGCACCCATAAATACTAGATATGGTTGTAGTGCTGTAATATTTGAAGTATCAGGAACGTACGTATACTCCCCACATGTGTGTTGTCCACTGACGCATTATTGTTGCATGTTGAAATGAGATGAGTATATACTTACCGTTTACAGCTGCCCTGACTTCCGCAATTTGGTGCTGTGACTAGTGATGACTGCTGACAACGAGACAATGTTTTACTATTGATTAACGTGTGACGACAATGTTTTACTACTATTGATAATTAACGTGTTTTTTTTTACATTTTACTATTTTATTATTGTAATCATTACACTAATCAAGACGTGAGGAGAGTGCGTAGTGCAAAAGACAAATGGAAGTTGTGAGGCATTGAGATAAAAACACGTATATTGTCACTGGTCATATATATGATGGAGATCACCCTTAAATATTAACACGTTTGTATTATGCATGAGAGACCATATGTATCTGCGTCTCTCATTCATGATATTGACTTTAGTATAATCATTATTATTGATAATGATACTCTGTTTATATACATGCACAGAGGAAGAGATCTCTTTACAACGGTTAAGAATCTGTGAGACGAGTTAGAGGACTAATTAGATCAATTAGATGAATCATATTGATGGGGAAAGGATCATTTTCAACAAAATGCATTTTTCTATCTGAACTTTGATATAGTATTGTTTCTACCGAATTAAACTAACTATCAAATTTTTGCAGAAAATAATATTGCTCGAAATAGTGTTGGTCATTTATGATGAGTCATATATACAACTTTTGTTGAATCATATGCCACATATACCATATTTTAAAACAAACAAAAAATCACTAAAAAGTACTATTCTGTTTTCAATTGTATATTATTCATGGATGTGGGTGTCGATTCCACATATGTTTCCTTATTCTATCACATGATTCATGTCACTCGCTGGTGATATATTGGGTGGCTCTATCCCAAATGAATAATATATATCCATGCACATTAGTAAATATATAAAAGATAGCTACGAGATAGATGAATTAATGTTAAAAATTAGAAACTGCAGACAAATTAGAAAGCTGATTAATAATATATAGCAAGTGTGAGTTTCACACTTCACCATTACATTACATCATATAAAATCTTTGGTTTAATGGTTTAGAGAAACCTAAATATGGAATCAAGTGAGTTTTATCTCTTCCTAAAGTGTCCAAAAAAGCAAATTAAAAAAGAAAATAGTGTAACATTCAAAAGTCTATTAATAAAAGAGAAATTCTCATAATGAATATTTATAAAGCTTATACGTTGTTAGTTATAAAATGTCTATAAGATTTCATAAGGTTTATACAATTTGAAATTTGACATATGTTTGTTATTTTTGCGTATACTTTATTTTTATGTTTTTCTTATGTTATGATTATGTTTTGCTCATTGTTTGCTTATTTTTCTATTTTTGTTTGTTTATCTCTTTTGTCAATTAAAAAATCAACTCAGTTATTATAACGTCATCTTTCGAAATTGTGATGTGTTGCTAGTATATAAATATGTATACCGGTATACGCATTCATATTATCATATAACTTCGACTTTGTTTATATATAGTATTTTTTAATGTATATTTACGATCGAAATTCAGGAAACTGGTGGCTAAGTTTAGGCTTCAGCAACATAGTAGGATATTGGCCATTAGAGTTATTTACAACACTGGCTGATCACGCAGCGTACGCACAGTGAGGCAGTAAAATTCTGAACTCGCAACATTTAGGACGACATATGACGATTCAGATGAGTTCCGGTCATTTCCCTGATAAAGATGATCAGAAAAGCAGTTGTTTCTGTAACTTGGAATTTGTTGATAACAACGTCTACAGTCAGTCCCAATCCAAAATTTGGTCAACATAGCAACCAATCCTGAATGTTATGACGTCAAGCATCTCTACTCAGAAGATTGGAAAACATAATTTTATGGCTTCGAATGGAGAGAGCGTTTCGGGCAGAGCTGATCAAGCGGGTCAAAAATATCTAGCAGAACAAAAGCAGATCAAGCGAACTAGCAGATCAAACACTCCAAATCTCCAGCGCTTTTACTGTTCATAGTGTAGTACAATTTTTCTTTTAAATTTTGATCTGCTAGCAGGACAATTATTTTTTAATAATTTTTTTTTCTGAACTGCACTTTATGTATTTTATGTTGAATGGTAAATATACAGGACAGTCGATCTGTTTGGCAGGAAAACTGCTTTTTATCTGTTTTTTATTGCTTTCCATTCAAAGCCTATGTTTCATGTAATCAAAACTCGGACTTCCAAAGTGACAAACACTTGTGTATTAACTTTGTCTAAACAAAAGTGAATATGGTTTTAAAAACAAGTTTGCATTCTCACCTGAACCTACCCTTAAAGTACTTTAAAGTTAGACAAATCAAAGTAGAAGAGTTGTTTTTTTTTTTCTCTCCTGTCTAGGCTCTGCTAAAGTAACCACCAAAGAATCAAAAGAAGATAATGAATGGACACATCTAAATACTTATAAGTTATAACCGTATTTCATCTTACCAAAGAGATACTTAAAACAAATTACCGTATAAAAGCCCTTAAAATATTGTCTCTTATATATATATATACTAGAAAGTTGCCCACGCGATGCGTGGGTTATACATGAAATATTAATTAAAAATTATATTAAATTATATATGTGTATAAGTGTTAATATATGTTTTGAAAATAATTTTAAAACAAAATAATATGTTTATATTCATTATGTGTATTACAAAATAATATTAATTTTTACGTTTAAAACAAAATAATTAACGCACAAACAAAATTGAACGCGATCGCAAAATTAGTATAAAACATATTTTGTGTACATTGTAAACATTAAAAATAAACGAAAAATATATTTGGAAAATATAGAACTGAATGAGATCTAAACAAAGTAATACAAAATTAGCACATACAAAATTATGAGCATTTGTGACTCACCTTATATTTTATCATAACCTAAAAGTAACTTAAATTTTAAAAATGATCAAGTTAAACTTTTCAAAATATCAAATTAAAAGATTTCATTTGAAACATATGATATATTGTTTTAAACTTTATTTAGAAAAGATTTTTCAATTTAGATTATAAAAGCATTTAAACTATAGTTATGTAAAACTAAAAAGAGAGATCATAAGCCAAATAAACAGAAGAAGATTACATGAAAAGAAGAACTTTGATATTTTTATATTCTATTTGATTGTAAAGGAAGCTGACATAGGAGGTAGATGAGAATATATATATAGACTATTTAATGTAGCATTAGTTTAATTTTAAAATTACTACTAAATTTTTTAAAAACAAATATGCATGAAGATTTACATTACTATAAAAGCTAAATAAATGAATCCAAACTAAAATAGCATAACATGTTTACATCAAAATTAACAGAGAAGATGAACAACGACATCTATCTATTATATGTACATGATGGCGAATTTTTAGGTTTTTGCCCTTTTCATTTGATAAAAATAAAATTTTAACTCTGCTTACTATTATTATTTTATTTATAAATATAAATTACCAAACAGAAAGAAAATCTAACCAATTTAAAATTTTTTAAAGAAAATGTAAATACAAAAAGAAATTATTAAAAAATATACTTGGCGATATCTATCTATTATATGTACACGACAACAATACTAACTATATGTTCGGTCTCTTTAGGAAAATAACTTGGATAGGTATTTTTATTATTATGAATATAAAAATTATTATTTATTTTAGCAAATGAGGTTAAGTTACTAAGAGTGTAGAGTGGGGTATGTTATTAATTATCATAATTTAATTAATGAATTAAATTAAATATAACTTTCATAAAATGTATGATCTTTAAAAGAAAAAATTTAGGGACCAATTTTTTTGTAAGCAAGTATAAATATTTTTTTAACACTTTGACTGCAAATTTTAAATAAACTAAATATTATAATTTTTTTATACAATAGTCTATTTGATCACAAAAACTAAATATAATGACAGATATATTAAAATGAATTACAAACAATATTTGAGATTAAAAAAATAAGAAAACATTATTTGATAAATGTTTTAAATCGAAATTTTTATTTATATAACAAGCCAATCACTCGATCCTGAGCTTAAACAAGCGATCAGGACTTCAAGAATTGCGGTTAATAAAAAAGTGGTTAATATATTATTTTGGAAATTGTGTTACAATAAAATAGTTAATTAGATATTTCATAATCAAAAAAGAAAATGCATATATAAAAATGGATCTTTATAACTTAATTCTCTTGTTGTACGATTATTGGAACTAATATAAGATACTAGGTTAGATTTGTATCATACTTTCTAAAGATATTTATATCAAATTCTTAAAATGATTATTTCATTGATTTTTATGTCACATAAGAACATAAAAAATAGAAAAAAATATTAAAGATACATGAATATAATGGAAGAGAGGGAGTGAATGTACTTATATGTCCAGTTCTCTTGGTTTTTACAGAAGCTTGAGCTTGATTGTCCAAATCTTCAAGATGGGTAGGGATATTGTTAACGTCGAGGTTGAAATCGACAAAATTTGATGTGGTTCAGGTTGGTTATTTGAATTCAGAGTACGTGAGTTTGGGTATGAAAATACCTTTGGGAAATAGTTTGGGTTGATTTTCCCCGTTTTCCCTATCAATATATCATATAGTCTCTAAAAGTTTCTACAGTTGAAATTTTATATAATAATTTTTTTTTTCAAAACTCATACAACAAAAATAAACAAAGCAAACAAATTTCATGAAGAAGAGAATGAGAGAATGAGAGAATGATATAATGAGAGAATGAGAGAATAATATAATGAGAAAATGAGTATATATAGGAAGATAAGTGATGCGAGTTACAATTTCATAAAACAATTATGGGAGTCAATTATAATTGATTGTGTATTGAAAAAATTGAATGGAAAATATAGTTAATGCAAATTTATGTTATTTCAGTTTTTATATTAAAGTGTGAGTTTAATATATATGATTAAATGTGTTTTGTGGTTTCTTTGTTTTTTTCAGTTTTATATTAAAGTGTGAATCAAATATAAAATATTTTTAAAAGTTACATGCCAAGTGGACCAATAAGAAGATGGTAAGATCTTATATATATATATATATATGATTTGTGAATAATATGATAGTTATTCTTTGATTTAAATTCATTATATTATTTTCTCAACTATTTGATAATGGAAAATTAAATAAATTTTGTTTGATAATCTCTTTAATTCTTCTCTTATAAATTAAATTTTAGAAATTAGAAATTATGTTATAAATAATTTATTACCCATATTAATAACTTTAAAAATGTATATTTAAAGGAGTAGGAAAAAAAACTTTAAAAATGTATCTTTAAAGGAGTAGGAAAAAAAAGTCATAGCAATTTTCTTTGAATATAAAATTATAACAACTCCATTTTATGTTTAGCTTATATGATATTTAATTTAATTAGAAACTAAAATTAGGAAAAACATATTTTTACAACAATGACACTTTTTAAAAAGCAAACCATACATATAACATATAACTTACAACACAATATCATAAAAAAATAATTTTAAAATGTTAGATTATAAATTAATAAAAATGACACATGTCAGAAGCATAGAGCGACACATGTCGCGTTGTGAGGCAAAGTTAAGAAGAAACCTTGTCTTATTATATAAGATATACATAAATTTGTCAGTATTTAAAATTTAAAAGATGTTTCAGCCTATATGAATCTCACATAAGTTCACCAACATTTAGATTTTGGAACAAACAAAAAATAGTTGTATACGTAATGTCTATCTTGAAGGCACAAAAGCGCTATGTTAACACCACGTATCGATTTTGTATAATTATATCAAATACCTTAAACATATAAGGTTGTAAATTGATTGTGATTGTCGAGATTTCCCATAATAGGAGGTTTAAAGAGTTTTGGGTTTAGCCAAAAATCTCAATAGAAAGATGATGGAGCGGAAGCTTCTAGGGATAGGACTAGAGATCCGTTGATTATCAGAATACCGGTGAAATCTAGGGTTTGAGAGTCCTCCTCTCAGGGCTTTCGCAAAAGCTCTTGGATTTGTGAATACTCTTCACAGTGGTTTATTAAAACCTCTTTAAATCTTTCGATTAATCAATATATCAAATAACTGAATACAATAGGAGGCTTAAGAAGCCTATTTATAATAAAGCATAAAACCCTAAAACTAAGAATATTCTAGAATAATTATAATAAATAAATTAAGAGATAATAATAAGAGATATTTGGAATATCTCGCTGCATCAGGTCTCGCCGGCCAAGAAAAGATTCGTCCTCGAATCTTGTATCTGCGCTGCATCAGCTCCCGCCGGCCAAGAAAGATTCGCCCTCGAATCTTCAGCAGATTTTTTTAGCAAAAGTGATCTTTGTAGATCCATCTTTATCTCTGTCGGTTGATTTAGCTCGATTTTTGCACAATCCCGGTTTGATCCGAAATTTGCACGAACTGTAACTGACCCAAAATATGCACGAACCGGATCTGACCCGAAAATTGCACGAACCGGATCTGACCAAAATTTCGCACAAATCACCTCCTCGACGGATGTACAGGTCGGAACTTGCATGAAACTTACACAAATCGGTGGTTTCATGATTTCTGCAGAAAACCCGAATTTTGCACGGATCTGATTTCGCCCGAACTTTGCACAAATAAGATCTTCTTCATAAACATCATAGATCGGATCACCAACAATTTCTCTGTAGATCTGGTGGTTCTCCTCTCTCTCGATAAAAGGACTTTCGTCC